GCACCCAGCGCAGTGACATGTTCACACACACACACACACACACACACACACACACACACACACACACACGACAGCCGCCGCCGGCCCGCCCCCAACCGGTGACCGGGCGCGCCTGATGCTCACGTGCACAGCCGCCCGGGCCGCTTCTAGGGAGGCGGAGGCCGCCCGCTCTCCGCCCAACTGTCAGCACGACCCTCTCGGCGCTCGACTCCCTCCGCCTGAACAGCTGATCCCGGCGCCGCGGAGGCCGGGCGGAGGGGGGCGGGGCCGGCGGCCCGGGGCGGCCGCGGATTGGAGGGGAGGGCAGACAGGGGGCGGGGCCTCGGCGGGAAGCGAGGAGCCGCATCCATCATGTAAGCAGCTCGGTGCTTCCTGCCGCCACTGCCCGCGGCCGCCGCCGGAGCCGGCCTCCTGCGCGCCCGGACGGACGGGGTGGAGCGGCGCTGGGGTGGCGGGCTCGGCGGCCGCCCGGCGGGAGGGGCAGGTGAGGGGGGCGTCTGGCGCGAAGGGGGAGGAAGGCCGGTTTGGGGGCGCCCCGGGGTCCGAGCGGAGGGGCTGGGGAGCCTCGGCCGCGGCTGGAGGCCGGGGCAGGGCGGCGGGGGACCCGGCTCCCGGCGCCCGGCTGCCTGCCCCGTCCCGTGAGGGTGGCGGGCCGGGTGGGGCGTTGGCGGAGAGGTTTCCTTGGGAACGTGGGGAAGTTGCCCCGTCCGGCGCCCCAAGCCCGTGGTGGAGGGCGCAGCCGGCCCGCCCGCTGCGGGGCGAGTGTGTGTGCGGGCCGCCTCCGGGGGGAAAGTCCTGAGCCTCCGATGTGTGGCCCCTCGTCCTGGGCTCGCCTCTGCCTCCGGGGCTGCTCCCTCCCGGCCCGCGGCTCCCGGTCGGGGAGGAGGAGGCGCCACCCCCCAGCTAGTTCCCATCCGGAGGGCGAGGCTGGAACGGGATGGGCCTTTTTAAGGAGTTAAGGTTCTCTTGTCTAATATATTAGATACTTTAATTTTTTTTAAAAAAATATTCTATTGATTTTGTACAGAGAGGAAGGGAGAGAGAGAGAGAGAGCTAGAAACATCCAGGAGAGAGAAACATCGATCAGCTGCCTCCTGCACACCCCCTACTGGGGATGTGCCCGCAACTAAGGTATGTGCCCCTGATGGGAATCGAACCCGGGACCCTTCAGTCCGCAGGCCGACGCTCTATCCACTGAGCCAAACCGGTCCCGGCATATTAGACACTTTTCTTAAGACACTCCAGGAATATGAGAAGTGCTGGACTTGTGTGTAAAGCAAGTAATTTGCTTGATAAATGATCATCTATGGATTGAGTGCATCCTCTGTTGTAAAGTTAGCACGCTTGGACAGTCCAGGTGGGTAGTTGCTTGGTACATTGCACTGTCTTGTTTCTGATTTACTTGAGTCTCGTTTTCTGCCACTTCAAAAAAAATACCCGCTCCATCAGGATTCTTGGGAAAAAAATATTCTTGGTTTCTTTCTTGCCCTTGGGTTTGGGTTTGTGGCAGAGGTTGAGCAGGTTAAGTCTCTTGTGTAGAGCCAGGCTGCTTTCCTGAGTCCTCCCCTTTTCCTTCTGGAAGGGGAGTAACGTGGATCAGTGTGGGGTTTCCTTTGGTGTTTCGGTTGGCATGGCGATCAAAAGTTGAACAACGACAACCAAAAAATCTTTGTTCACGAAGACTAACGTGTCTGATACTCAGTTGTCGTACATGATTAGATACGTTTTGGAAAAACTACTTAGAAGCCCTGGCCGGATTGCTCAGTTGGTTAGAGTCGTCCTGTACGTCAAGGTTTCGGATTCCATCCCCTGGTCAGGGCGCATATAAATAAGTGGAACAACAAATCACTCTCTCTAATCAGTTTTTTAAAAATTTAAAAAATACTTAGAAGTGACTTGACTGATATTTGGATCTTTTTTATCTGCAGACATTTTGATACTGGCTGGCAGGCTGGGTTTATTTTCTACATTTAATACCTGATTCGCTTTCAGGTTGGCTTCAGCAACAAGAGAGTGTGAAGAGGGTCTGTAAAAAATCAATAGCCTTCCAATGAGAAGAGGCAAAGCAAGTACTGGTGATATATGGATGAATAGGTTAATACTTTTAATTTCCTATCAGTCAGGAAAGAGTCCCTGTTTATTTCAGAGACAGTTATTAAGCTACCAGAGAATAAGAGTTGTAAGGTAGATTTGTTTCCCCCCCCCCCCCCCCCCCCCAGAATCCTGATGCCATTATGTGGTTTTTAAATTAACTACATATGGTTGTATTTATATTTTAGATACTACGTTTGAGGAGTGTTTTCATGGTAATTTTTATCCTCACACTTCTATAGCCTATTAAAGCGTGGGTGACTCTTTTTAAAAAAAAAATATTTTTATTGATTTTATAGAGGAAGAGAGAGGGAGAGGGAGAGAAACATCAATGATGAGAATCATTGATTGGCTGCCTTCTGGAGGCCCCCTACTGGGGATGGAGCCTACAACCTGGGCCTGTGCTCCTGACTGGAATCGAACCTGGGACCTTTTCAGTCAGACGGACACTCTTATCTACCGAGCCAAATCAGCTAGGGCAAGAGTGGGTGACTTAAAAGTAATGCTAGGATTCTGGGCAGATTGCTAACTCTGCTTCTAATGTTGCTTTTGTCAAAGTAGAATGAACGGCAGGCTGATTTCCGAGGCCTGAGGCTTATTGCCACTACATTCTTCTTTCTTTTCAAGTACTTCCACCTCCCTGCTTTTTGAAATTTACATTTGACCCATCTCCAGCTTATTTACTAACCCTTTGTGGGAAAATATGGGTTGTCAGGACACTTTAGAAGTACTGCTGACTGGGCTCCCCAATAGAACATGATGATAGAGAGGTTCCTTCCCTCTTTCCTCCTCCCTCTTCCCTCCCTCTTCTTCCTCTTCCTCCTTTCCTTTTCTGCTCCCTCCATTCCAATAAACATTTACTGCCAAAATTCCGTTCAAGTCAGTGGTTTCAGTTCAGTTTTGTTTAATTTTTAAGTAAATTATTAATCAGGCAACATCTTGAGTAATTAGAATTCAGATAGGCTAGATTTGGAAGTCTGTGTGGAGCTACACAAGTCATTTTGCTCTAAAGAAGTACTCTGAGCTGAAACCTGGGCTTTAGATTCAGCTCTTCCACGGACTAGTGTGACTCAAGAAAGTTGTTTTAGGCTCAGTGTACATCAGTTCCCTCAAAGGTAAAATACAGTAATAAGGCCAGTTCTGTGCAACTTTCAGGCTTTTTGTAACAATTAAATGAGATGGTAAATATGATTTTGAAAGTGAAAACGTTTTGTTCTATCCTATATAATAAAGAGGTACTATACAAATTAACCATCATGCCCTCACACAAAGATGGCCGCCCCCATGTGGTCACAAGATGGTCACCCCCATGTGATCACAAGATGGCAACCATAAGATGGCTGGCAGGGGAGGGCAGTTGTGGGCGATCAGGCCAGCAGGAGTGGGCAGTTGGGGTGACCAGGCTGGCAGGGGAGGGCAGTTGGGGGTGATCAAGCTGGTAGGGGAGGACAGTTGGGGGCACTTGGGCTGGCAGGGGAGCAGTTAGGTGTTGATCAGGCTGGTAGGAGAGCGGTGAGGAGGTGATCAGGCTGGCAGGAGAGTGGTGAGGAGGTGATCAGGCTGGCAGGGGAGTGGTTAGGTGTTGATCAGGCTGGCAGGGGAGCGGTTAGGAGGTGATCAGGCTGTCAGGGGAGCGGTGAGGAGGTGATCAGGCTGGCAGGCAGAAGCAGTTAGGGGCAATCAGGCAGGGGGGTGGGCGGGCGGGCGGTTGGGAGCCAGTAGTCCTGGATGGTGAGAGGGATGTTCGATTGCTGGTTTAGGTCCTGCTGCCTGGGCCTAAACAGGCAGTTGGACATCTGCTAAGGGATCCCAGATTGGAGAGGGTGCAGGCTGGGCTGAGGAGCACCCCTCCGCTCCTGCCCACTATCCGTCATGCACCAGGTCTATAACGGATAGTATAATAATATATAGTATTATGTGTAAATAAGAGCATAATGTCCTCTTTGTAAAGTTTAAATTAGTTGACAAAACTACAGCACTTTATAACTAGAGTTATGCATAGTTCATGGATCTTCTTTTATGTGAAGTATTAATCACATGGCAGAAAATAAACACCAGTGCTTTTCTGTATCTTCCATCTGGTAATGTGGTTACCTTTACTGCTTCGGATTAACTAGGAATTTTGGTTAGTGCTTGGGAGGAAGATGATGGGGAACAGTTTGTTGATTTGGTTAGTCCCAAGATGTGGAGGCATAGCTTGAGGTAACTTTTTAGTTGTTTTCTTTTAAAAAATATTTTTATCGATTTCAGAGAGGAAGGGAGAGGGAGAAACATCAATGATGAAAGAGAATCATTGATTGGCTGCCTCCTGCACGCCCCCTACTGGGGATCGAGTTCACTACCCAGCTATGTGCCCTTGGCCGGAATCAAACCTGGGACCCTGCAGTCCACAGGCTGATGCTCTATCCACTGAGCCAAGCTGGCTAGGGCTACCCTTTATAGTTTCTAAAAGAAAAAAATTGAAGTGAGTCAAAGCTTTGAGGAATTTATATGCTTGTGTAAAACTGTTTCCCCCCATAACTAAAAAAAAGCTATCAAATATCTCTCTTTCCAAAAAATTCAAAAATGAAAAAGATAAACTATATAAAAATGCATTTTATTTTTACCTGTTCACATTTATGTCCTACTTCTAATTTTTAAGTACTTTTGATAATTTCTGTAATATGAATAGCAGTGTTGAAATTAGGTTGGCTATATAATCATGATTTTAGCTATTGAGACTTATTTATGATCTAGATCATAGAGTTTTCAAGCCTTAATTTGTAATTTGGCTAAGCTATGTGATTTATCTATTCTTTGTTTTTTATAGTCTGAATTTTCAGATATTTAGGGATGCCCTCTGTAATTAATGCTTGGGCTTCCTGAGGAACCTTATATCTTGGTGTTTCTTTCATTTTTAGACTCATGAAATGGCCACAGATGATAAGGCTTCCCCGACACTGGACTCTGCCAATGACCTGCCTCGGTCTCCGACTAGCCCCTCGCATCTCACACACTTTAAACCTTTGACTCCCGATCAGGACGAACCTCCTTTTAAATCGGCGTATAGTTCTTTCGTAAATCTCTTTCGATTTAACAAAGGTAAGACTTATTCTTAAAGGGAGCCTACAGTTTTGGTTCTCTGAAATTCTCTTGTTCAGGTTTTGTCTTGTGTCTTTGCAAGAGGGTAAATTATTAACAAGGAGAGGGCTTTAATCATAGGTCACAGATTTACTGCCTAAGAGAAAGCTAGAATTTTTCAGTTACTATAACATAATGAAATCCCACAATTACTTATTTACTAGTGTATTTACCTTTATATAATGCCACCTTAGGGCTAAATCTTAAATTGGTTTTTAATTACATCCAAAAGTGTAAACCTCTTCACCCATTTTTAAAAGCATTTCATTTCTCATGAATTGCTATGTTAGATTTTAGAGTTTACCTTATTTTCCTTTTACACACAATTTCTTTTAATATGGCCATTATTATTTACGAGGGGCCCAGTACACGAATTCGTGCACCTTGAAAGGAACTATGGGTCTCGAGGCTGCAGTGGGCACAAGGGCCGGATCTTGGCCCATCCTCTACGCCCCCACCAGGCCCCTCCCTCCGAGGCCCCCACTCCCCGGTCAGCTGGCAGCCTCACTCCTGCCACCGCTGCTCCCATGCGCTGATGGCGCTGGTCCTGCTTGCACTCCGTGACAGTGCAGAGCAATTTACAGAAAAATTGGGAAAATAGTACAAGGAGTACTCATACCTCACTCCCAGTTTCTCTTATTATTAACATCTTATGTTAGTAGCATACATTATTAAAATTAGTAAGTGAACAATTATTGATACATTATTAATTAAAGTATGTATTTTACTCATATTTCTTCAGTTTTTGCCTAATGTCCTTTTTTTGTTTCCAGATTCCTTTCAGGAGACCACATTATATTTTAATTAATTAGTTATTTATTTTTAAATATATTTTATTGATTTTTTTACAGAGAGGAAGGGAGAGGGATAGAGAGCTAGAAACATCGATGAGAGAGAAACATATCGACCAGCTGCTTCATCACCCCTCCCCCCCGCAACCAATGTACATGCCTTTGACCGGAATCGAACCTGGGACCCCTGAGCCAAACCGGTTCCGGCGAGACCACATTATATTTAGTCATAATAAAATAACAATCTTTTTAGTTAGCAAATGTTTATTGATCACCTACTATCCACTGGGTACTGTTGTAATAGCACAGGGATCTGCTCTATCCCATAAACAAAACAGACCTCTCAAAAATCCATGCCTTTGTGTGAAGCTTGCACTCTGTATTTTTCAATATGTTGAAGATATTTCTAATGAAAAGTGAAACAAACTGGAGATCCCATATAACCAGGATGTGAATATTGCCCTGTAATTTTGCACTTCTTTGGATTTTTTAAATACCCTACTTTTTAATTATGCATGTAATACATATGTACATTCCTTCCTGAAAGATTTCCCATGCTTCCTTCTCTTTGCTGAACTCTGACGGTAGCTTTCCAGAATAACGCCAAGCTCTCCTTTGCCGCAGAGAGAGCCGAAGGGGGCCAGAGCGAGCAGCAGTCTCCGAGTGGGAGCTGGGCCAGCCCTCAGCTCCCTTCCAGGGCCCAGTCTGTGAGGTCACCTGCGCCGTATAAAAAGCAGCTCAATGAGGAACTGCAGCGGCGGTCTTCAGCAGTATTAGGTAAGACAGCGTTCTCACTTCCTCTCTGTGCATTAGGTTTTTCCACAGTCATTGTGTCCCAGGTTGTTTTTGACTTAACTTTTCTGCTGTACACCTCAGAATTAATGAAACTGTTGCCTAGATGGGGAAAGAATTTGTAGATACCTAAAGTAATTTCTTAAACATTTTATTAAACTTTAACTTAGGCCGGGCAGAAGCCTCTTGACTGTTTTTTGATTAATCACTTGCTTGGGTTTCAGCAGAGAACAGTTTGCCACACCCCCAGGAGAACACAGGTCAGTTTCAGCTTTGTGAATGAGCCTGCATCTGTTGGTGGGATGGCTCGTGTCATGTGATGTGCATGCCTCGGCTGCAGAACTCTGTATCTCCATTCATGGGCTGCCGCGGGCTCTTGGCCTTCTGTCTTTGGGGTGCACGCCGTCATTGTGGCTGGATAGGCTGGGCTCTTCTTGCCTGTATGTTGTCCATCCCGGTCTACTCCATAGTCATCTCCTTCATTTTCACGCTTTCCCGATGAGTATGGGCTGGGAGTCAGTGCCTGAATTGAGAGGCTATAGATAAAGTGAGTTGTTTTATGCTTTATTTTTGCGGGATTATTAAACCCAGTGAAGTGGTTTGCCCAGCTCACGGTGACAGAAGACAGGCAGTGAGAGGTGGCATAACAGGAGAAGGGGTGCAGCACTGGAAACCAGGTGTCTTTGAATGTCAGACCCTCGCCTTGTTCGCCAGCCTCCTCCATGAGGGCCTCCAGGGAGATAGGCAGGTGCGGGGAACGGTGGTTGTCAGGAGGACGCTTTATTGCTAATTGGGAGTTGGTTTAGAATCTTCAGGTGGGACAGGAAGAGGAGAAACCAAGCGGAAGAGTTTCTCTCCAAGGATGGGAACAGAGCTGGCTGCATCACCCCGCACGTTTCCCAGGCCAGAGGCCTCCACCGGGGTCCTGGCGGCCTTTTGGAAGGAGCAGTCAGGTGGGAAGGGGGAGAGGAGAACGGAGCTCTCCTGTTACCGCAGGAAAGGGAAAGGAAGGGAAGGGACTCCCCCCACTTGAACTCTAACTCAGTGGACTCCCCTTAGCTCTGGAAGCTGCCCACGCAGCACTCCTGTTCTTGTCGAGGTAGCTTTTGACTGAAGCCTAAGCTGAATTAAGCATAGGATGTCTTCATTTGTAAAATTGAGGAGTCGGACTAGAATCTAATCTTTTAGGGGTTACAAACTAACAGCCTCCCAAATCTTGCTTTGGTGTTTGGATAAACTTGAATATAAGGATCAGTAGGTAGAGCCTGTGATGTCTGATTTGCTGCAGTCCCCACTCCTTATTGTTTTGTAGCAGGCGCACTTGACTCTTATTTTACCTTACCTGCTAGGGCAGCGGTCGCTGGCCTTCCGGGCCTCACGGACCACCAGTGGTCCGAGGACCACCTGTTGGCGACCGCTGTGCTAGAGGCTCAGAAACCTGGGCCTGTCTGACCGACCAAGTTCCTTTCCCTGTTACAAGGCTGTCGCTTCACAATATTCTAGCTCCGTGACCAAGGAAAACAATTTATTTTCTAATACTGGCTTCACAAGAGGTGCAGCTGAGATTGTTTACCTAAACAATACTGGCAGAGTGCTAGACCAGGCTTTCCCTCAGGGCTCTTTCATCTTCATCTGAGATCTCTTTCTCTGGGCTTCAGGAACAGACCTGCTGTTCCTTTCCTAGTGGCCGATGCCTTTGGTACTCTCTTTCACTCCTAACTGCCTAAACACAAGGGACTTCATTCATTGTCTGTTGCCTGTGCATGAGAGCATAACCGTACGATTCTAACAGCTTCATCTGTCTCTTTTTCAACTAATACATCATGGAGAGTTGCTTTATATTGTGATACTAAAAAGATGTGATCATTCTAATATTCATACTTTCCCCCCCCAAGAATCTTTTTAAAAAAAAATTTATTGATTGATTTAAAGAAAGAGGAAAAGAGAGAAACATTGGTTTACTATTCCACCCATTTCTGCATTCATTGGTTGATTCTTATATGTACCTGACTGAGAATTGAAATCACAACCTTAGCATATTGGGATGGCACTCGAATCAACTGAGCTACCCAGCCCGGGTTCAGACTCTTACATTTTTATTGCAGTAACAGCACGGGTGTCTGCTGAAATTAGGACATTATTATTTATAGAAAGAAAAAGTTTTCTGATATAAGTACTGCTTAGCTAATTATTTCTGTATTTAAATTATCTAGGAAAATTCTTTGTCCATTTGGATTTATATATGGACCTTTCATTTATGGTAATCCTTTTTTTTCTACTAACTCAAAGCACACCTAAAACAAATCAAGCAAATAAGTGAATTAAAGAAGGATGTAGCATGGGTATTTTCCATCTTACTCTGTTAAGATGATTAGGTTAATAAGTTTAAATTAATAGGCATGCTCATTCTTTTTGTCAAGCCACCTCCATTTTATCCTTAGGTTTTATAGCTGCCAGAGCTAGGACTAGTGATCTTGCTCTAATATAAAAAGGAATAATATGACAGTTTGGCGGGCACACCCATCCTGGCCACAGAACTGGAACGGGACTTTGGTCATTGATAGGCCTGGCTCTGGTAGTGCTGTTTTAAGTGTAAGTGGTGCCCTCCAGTTTGGAGCTGTAGAGGCAGGGAGGTAGCAGAAGGGGTGGCATCAGCATTCCAGTAATCCTTGGGCAGCTTTAATCTGCTTGGACACTGGTGAAGGAAAGTCTGTGGGTAAATGACCATCCTGAATGTCCTGAAGTCCGTCAGGCTCTTTGGGATTGGGCTATTCCAATCCTTTCTGAGCGTCTGCTGTGAGACTTTGGATAAGTGGTCTGCAGATGAATTGAACTGCTCAACCCTGTTGCTGTGTTGTTGTTTTTAAATAATTTAAAAAATATTTTTATTGATTTCAGAGAGGAAGGGAGAGGGAGAAGAGAAATAGAAACATCAATGATGAGAAAGAATCATTGATTGGCTGCCTCCTGCACACACCCCACTGGGGATCTAGCCCGCAACCTGGGCATGTGCCCTGACCAGAAATCGAACCCTGACCCCCAGGTTCATAGGTCAACACTCAACCACTGAGCCGTGCTGGCTGGACTGTTGCTGTCTAACCATAGAGACTAAGCTACGTTAACTCACTGGGATTGCTTTTTCTTCTGCTAAATTTCTAGCTGGTGTTTACTATGTCTTGGGACCAAGGGGCCCAAGAAATCACTAATGAATTTTGGGCCATGTAAACAAGTTTCCCATCTCAGGCCTCAAAACCACCAGTGTTCTCAGACAGTGCTTATCTTAGGTAGCCTTACTTGCTTGTGAAGTAGTGTTTTATATAGCAATATAAAAACACCCTTGAGAGAAACACTTTGAACACCTCTTATACCTTTCTTTATAAAGACTAGTTTTAACTCAGTCCATATCACTGGCTGCGAGAACATGAGTCTATACTAACTAGGGGCCCGATGCATGGAATTCATGCAAGAGTAGTTCTTCCTTCTTCTGGCTGCTGGCAGCAGCTCCCTCTGGCACCGGCACCTAGGCTTCCCTCCAGCTGCCAGCAGGCTCCGGGACCGGGCTTCCCTCGCAGCCCCAGCTTCATCTGGAAGGACGTCTGGTCCAATTAGCATATTATGCTTTTATTATTGTAGATTATTATAGATAATATGAGGCACTGCACATCACATATATACCTTGCTCTGCATAGATATGGAAGACTACTTACAAGGTTCTTTTTTTTTTTTGTTGTTGTTAATCTGACTCAGAAACAAGAAGGAAAGCGGAACCTGCCTTTGGAGGCCATGACCCTCGCACAGCCGTTCAGCTTCGAAGCCTCAGCACAGTGTTAAAGCGCCTCAAGGAGATCATGGAGGGGAAGAGCCAGGTGCGGCCTAAGCGCTTCAGAGGTCACTTATAAGCCCTCACGTGGGTCCACGCCATGCTCACGGAAAAGGACATGATGTCCTTGAAATCACCTTCCCCTCTTTATAGTTAGATGTTCTTTTATGTTCTGTTCAAAACACAAAACAGCTTTATTATTTGTGTGAAGTTTAGGGGTCAAGCTCCTTTTTTCCCCTCATTGCTGTCCAGTGGGACCCAGCTTCATGTTTGACAAGAACATCCTTCACTGAATGCATTATAAATCTTGTCAGGTCCATGTATGTATGTGTGAGGATGTGCTAGGCTCTCTTTTCTGCTCCATAGCTTTTTTTTTTTTTTTTTTTCCCCTATTCTTGAACTAATACTCTAAAATTATTGTAGCTTTAGAAAAAGTCTTGATGGCTGGTCATGTAAGTCCTTCAGTTTTGTTCAAGAGTGTCATGGTCAGTTTGGCTCTTTCCATTTCCATATGAATTCTAGGAATAGCTTTTCAATTTCTGCAAGAGAAGCTGCATAAAATTTTGATTAGCATTGCATTTGCTATTGAATCTTCATCAGTATTTTCAAGAAGCCTTCACCTATCTTGTTACAGGATAGTGACCTGAAGCAGTACTGGATGCCAGATAGCCAGTGTAAGGAGTGCTATGACTGTAGTGAGAAGTTTACAACCTTCAGGCGCAGGCACCATTGCCGACTGTGTGGGCAGATATTCTGCAGTCGTTGCTGTAATCAGGAAATCCCGGGAAAATTTATGGGCTATACAGGTAAGTGCATGTTATTGACAGTTTTACAACTTTTACACATTCATAAGTAGAAAATAGTTATAATACAGACTGATGCTAAGCAAATTTTTATTTTAGTGTGTGAGCCATGGAGAACACAGAGGTCAGAGAGACACAGCTTTGCTTTTAAAGGCTTCACAGTTGAATAACAAAGTAGATGGGGATGTTTATAAATAGAGTAGCAGACTGGGTATCATAGATGCTATCAAAAACCCTGAGGGCGTTAACATTTATTACACAAGCTGGTTAGAGAAGGTTACTTACGAGTTTACATTACTATGAGAGTTTTCATTTTACAAAATACAGGTTTTCTTTGAGCATATGACTGTGCTTTAGTAAATTACATCTCATTCTTTCATAGTTTTAGCAGTGTAGAAGTTTTAATTATTTGTGGAAGCAGGAAAAACTGAACAATGGTGTGTGAATTTATACAGTGGAATTTATAAAGTGGAAAGTGGGCAGACGGATGAAAACACTCTGAGCATCTCATGTTATTTTTATTATTATTCGGATTTTCCTTTTGGCTTTATTTAATTCTTTTTTCACCTAAACTGCTACCGAGTTTTAGACCTGAGTTATCTTTCATCCAGATTATGGCTATAGCCTTTAAAAGTTTTTTTTACCTTTAGTTTTTTTTTCCTACCTGTAATTCACTTTCCATAATCTAGCTGGTATTCTTAATTAAATTAAGTTAAATGCTATTTTGATCACGTCAGAGTATTCCCCTGCCTAAAACCCTTTCAGAAATCCCATTACCCTTAGGATAAAATCCTGTCATCTAAATATGGTTTGTGTGTTAATTTTCTAGGACTATCATAACAAAATATTACAAACAAGCATTATTAACATTTTGCTTATTATAAAATACATCCATAATTAAATAAAACTGAGTATTATATTAGTAGCCTTAAAATGAAAAATAAAATGAAACAAATAAATTATACTTGGTAGTAATTATGGTAAAAGTTGACTGTAAGAAATCTTTTTGTTCTACTGTAGCACTTTTCTAATGTTAATGCTAAAAAATTTAAGGTTGAATTATTAAATAACATGTTACTTGCAAAGTTTAATTATCTCACCTCCTTTTTTAGTGTACTAAAATGTAGAATAACACAAATAATTGTTACAGAAAAACAGTAGAAATGAAAACTTACATTTGGGCAGAACTATACCCTAAATGAAATTACAACATTTAAAGTATTAAGTAACCTACTTGTTTGTCCTCCCGAGAATATTTTATTTCCCTTCTAACTTTCACTATAAGCATTTTCTTAACCATCCCGCTTCCCCATATTTCCTATTATTTGTTTAAAGCAATGCCCCCTTGTGGAGGCTACTCTTCAGGGCTTCACAGTATATTGAGACCCGAGTGACATTTGTTTCTTCCTTCCTTTTTGCCTATGGAAAATATGTTGTTTCCATTTGTGTTGGTTTATTTACTTTATTTAAATTTTCTTTCCTTGAACCTTCTGTTTCTCATTTTACTTTTTGAACCTTGAAAAATACTTTAAATCAGAGTTTTCTAGCTACTATTATTGAGTGATATTTTCTTAACTTGTTACAAATACTTGAGGTAATTTATATACTTGAATGAATTGATCATGGTGATGGTTTTTAAAGTATGTAACAGAGCTAAAAGAATTATTTTACTTTGTTAAAAATATTTTTTGGTCCTTACCTGAAGACATTTCCGTTTTATTAGATTAACTATTGACCCAAAGATTTAATACACCTGTTAAGTAATACATTGTTGTTACTTGATTTTTCCTTTTTCCTTTCTAGGGGACCTCCGAGCTTGCACATACTGTAGAAAAATAGCCTTAAGTTACGCGCACTCCGCGGACAGCAATTCCATTGGGGAGGACTTGAGTGCTCTTTCAGATTCTGCTGCCTCGTTGTCTGTACTTGATCCTGGTGAGCCCCGAACACCTGTTGGGAGTAGAAAAGCCAGTCGCAACATATTTTTAGAGGATGATTTTGCCTGGCAAAGGTACTGTCACTTAAATACAATTTTATATTTGAGAAATACTGATAGTCTTGTGCCCTGTGGTGCTTTTAGTTAACGTTAGATTCTTTGAATTGTTAACTAAAAGCACTTTGGATTGTTTCCTGCATGCTCACAGAGGGTGTTTATGGACAGTGATTATAATGACTAATTAAAATGTCAAGAGGAGAGATTTTATATTTTACTTATTCACTGTTCTGTCCCTGACACCAAGAACAGTATGAGACCTATGTATGATCTAGATAATATTTGTTGAGTAGACAATAGAAGTTTAGGTCAATAATTTCTATCATAGTCTTCTAATGAGGATGTTCATAAGATTTATAGTCACAATATTTCAAATGAAATTAGATTATTTTCCTTCCTAGGGAACAGTTCATGATTTTCCATCTGTCTAAATATGCTACACTGCCTGGTAGTGGAGGAAGTTACCAACTTTTTCTTGGAAGTTATCTGCAATTGTTTGAATTAGAATGCTAGATTCATCAGTTTCTGATTGTTTTCTTTAGCTAAATTGTTTTCTTAGCTAAATTGTTTTCTTCTACCAATGTGGCCATGCTAATGAGCTTAGAGTTTTAACTAATATCTTTCTGATTAGTGGTTATTATATTGATTGCTGCTTAAGGGAATGAGGAATTAGTATGTAACCAATGAATTTAAGCAGTGGTCAAAATGAATGAATTATAGCTACATTCCACATATATGTACCTCAAGGACATAATGTAGAGTAGAAAAGAAAGTCACATTTATATCCAGTAATTATTCTATTTACATAGTGTCAAAAAATATACAGAATAAGCACACTGTGTAGGGATACCAACATTGGTTAACTTAAAGAAAAGGAAGAGACTAAGTAAGGAAATTTACATTGGTAGTTTCATTGAAGGCAGGGAGGGGGCGGCATTGGGTAGGAAAACACAAGCACTTGAAAGTCAGTGGTAACGTTCTCTCAAATTGCTCCATGGTGCATTGGTGTTTGTGGCATCATGATTTTTTCTTAAAACATATATATTTAGTATTTGTTGATTTCAAAGAGGTATGGAGAGGGAGAGAGAAATAGAAACATCAATGATGAGAGAGAATCATTGATTGGCTGCCTTCTGCACCCCACACTGGAGATCGAGCCTGCAGCCCAGGCATGTGCTCTCACCGGAAATTGCACCGTGACCTCTGGGTTCACAGGCTAATGCTCATCCACTGAGTCACGCCAGCTGGGCCATCATGATTCTTTATATGTTTCATGTACTTTATAAATTTTAAAGATCCATTCTACCTTTAATAAAACAAAGCATAGGAATTCTTTAGTTCTTGCTTACTTGAGTTGTAATGTCTTTTAGTTGTACCTGGCCCTGTTGTGTGAACCCAGAATTAGCAATGCAATTTAATAAACCAGGTGTGAAAGCATCCTGAGAGATGTAGGATAGATGTTAAAGGTGAGATAATTTTAGGTGTTGTGCTCATTGTTAATGTTCACTCTTTTTTAGTCATCATATCTCTGTAGTAGACACTGCTTTCAGATGTAGATGCTGAGGTTCAGAGAGATGGCACAATGTACTCAAGGTCACACAGCTAGTTAGAGGTAGAGCCTGCACTTGGAGCTAGGTTTGTCTGGCTCTGGAGTGCTATTCCAGTGGGTAATGGCAACTGAGAATAAAATAATTGAGCTCAGGATTTCCCCCCTAAGTCACTCCAGTATTGTAATATTCATGTGAGAAGGAATTTTCTAAGTGGCTATCCCACCAATTTATTATTTAAATGGCATTCCATATACTTAATACATTCTATTATCATATCAGCCTTTTGGCATTTGATATACTTATTATAAAAACCATTCTCTTCCCACTTTAATTAAAGGAAGGAAATGAAAAATGGCACATCATTTCATTATTACAGTGGAAAACAATCTATTTTTCAGTGTTGAAACATTTCGTAGAAATTGGGTTAGTTTGTTACTGTTCCAAATCATCTCAAGTTTTTCCTTTTTTATTTATAGTTTGATTCATCCAGATTCCTCAAATACTTCTCTTACAACTAGACTTGTATCTGTGCAAGAGGATGCTGGGAAATCTCCTGCTCGAAATAGGTAAGCTGCATGTGGCTCGCGAGCTACAGTTTGCCGACCACTGGGAGAATTTCTGAATGCTATTCTCCCAGGTTTCCCCAAAGATAAAATCATAAATAGCCATCAGAACTACTTTTAGAAGTATACTTAACATTGGCAAATAAGCATTTATCTAAAAATGAATGTATTGATGACAAATTTCTAACTGTGTTTTCACTTTGTGTTTTTATTTCCAGATCAGCCAGCATTACTAACTTGTCACTGGATCGATCTGGTTCTCCCATGGTGCCTTCATATGAGACATCTGTCAGTCCCCAGGCTAACCGAACATATGCGAGGACAGAGACCAATGAGGACGAACGCAAAATTCTTCTGGTACTGGTCCAGTATCTTTGGCCCATAGCTGGTTTTGATCATAAAGAATGTTTATCTCTCTGATTTTTTCTTTTTTTAAAGAAACATACAATGACATAGCCAGTTAGCATATAATTACTTAGGATAAATAATTAGCTAAAGTTTAATTTTATTAGTATCATCTGAGAAATTGGTCAGGCATTCCATGCTCATATATTGCATTAATATTTTCTTGACCCCTTTCATCTGGCAAAATCAGAATTCAGCGTCTGCCTACACAATGAGAGAGCTTAACTTTTTGTTAGGTCCTAGATTGCTATCTGAACTTTAAAATATGTTTCTCACGCACATGGAATGCCTTCAGACATTTAATACTGTACGTTTATATGAGATAATTATCAGTTGTTTGTTGAATTTATCTGTGTGTAAAATACTATGTACAATCATGAAAATGATTCAAAGAAATGGAAGATTTGGCTTCTGTCCTCAAGCTTGCAATTCAAAAGGTAGATAGGAGATGAATGGGTAGGATCTTAATAGTAAAAGAAGTAATACTTTAAAAAAAAAAATATATATATATATGAAATATCATTAGTAGTAAGGGAGGGAGTCAGGAAAGAACTTAAACTGAAAGGCGTGGGCTGGACCTGGAAGGATGGAATGGACTGGGGAAAGCAAACTGATTTACAAGTGTGAGGAAGGTATAGAAGTGAGAATAAGCATGGTGTTTTTCATGGATTGAGGTAGGATTTATTAATTGGGAGAAGGATTAAGTTGGAGTCTGTGGACAATGAGAATGGAAAGTTATTTGGGGCTAATGAATAACTTATTAACTGGTGGAAGGCGATGAATTCAGTCTTTAAAGTTTAGATTTGAGCCTGCAGGCACTGAGCAGCATTGGAAGGTTTTCTGAGATAGGAGTAACCCATTGAAGGCCTTTCTTTAGGAAAAGTCACCCGGCAGTTGGGCGTAGGTGAGAATGGTGGGAATCTGGTGAAGGCTGCTAGAAACATTTACTCTAGATTAGTGTTGCTGGCTGTTCAGTCCCCTCCTTTGCCTCTCTCCTCAGAGGAGTATGAAAATGGGTGCTTAGGTGATCAGGAAACTGATCAGATATGCCATTGACTGAAAATACTCATTCAGGATAGTTGTTTTTTGGGGTGGGAAGGGATCGGGGATAGTAGGTTTTCAAGAGAAAAAGTTTTATTTGGAATTAGTGAGCTGAGTTTAAGCTTGCCCCATGCAGTGGCATTTCTATTAAATTGTGTAAATTAGCTAGACAAAGACACCTAAATTGAGTTTTTTTCTTCTTAATCTAAAAATCACAAGAAAGCATCTGAAAAGGTATACAACATCCTACTCAGGAGTAATTACTTGCTTACCATGTGACTTTAGGACAGCGTTCAGCTGAAGGACCTGTGGAAAAAGATCTGCCATCACAGCAGTGGGATGGAGTTTCAGGATCACCGCTACTGGCTGCGAACCCATCCGAACTGCATCGTAGGGAAGGAGCTAGTCAACTGGCTAATCCGAAATGGACACATCACTACAAGGTCATTCTGTCTCAAGAAAGAAAGCCCTTTGATACTATGTATTAACTAGAGGCCCGTGCACACACTTGTGCATGGCTGGGGTCTGGCCAGCCCCTCCCGATGGGGGCCGATCAGGCCAGGCTGGCATGGGGGGGCGAGGGGCGTCTTGGGCTGTTGGCTGGCTGGCCTCATCCCCAGTTGGGGTGGAAGGGGCTGATCAGGGGTGGGGCGGCTGTGGGGAGGGGTTGTGGGATGTTGGGTGTGGCCAATGGGCTGGTTGGCTCTGCAGTGCACATCATAGCAACTGGGCATTCAGGACGTTCCTTCGTTCCAGTCACTTGGCTTTTATATATATAGACTAGAGACCTGGTGTGTGAAATACATGTATGGGGGGAGGGGAGTTGTGTCCCTCACCTCAGCCTGCACCCTCTCCAATCTGGGACCTCTTGAGGGATGTCTGACTGCCCATTTAGGCCCAGTAGGCTTGGGCCTAAACGGGCAGTCGGACATCCCTTGCACAATCCAGGATTGCTGGCTCCCAACTGCTCACATGTCTGCTTTCTGCCTGCCAGCCTGATCACCCCTAACCACACCCCTGGCAGCCTGATTGATGCCTAACTGCTCCCCTTGTCAGCCCTATTGCCCCTAACTGCCCTCCCCTGCAGGCCTGGTCACCCCTAACTTCCCTTCCCTGTCAGCCTGGTCACCCACCCCTAACTGCCCTCCCCTGCTGGCCTGGTTGCCCCCAACTGCCCTCCCCTGCCAGCCTCATCGCCCCTAACTGTTTTCCCCTGCTGGTCTGGAGCCCCCTTCGCCCCCCCTCAAACTGCCCTCCCCTGCTGGCCTGATCACCCACAACTGCCCTCCCAGTAGGCCTGGGTCCCCCCCAACTGTCCTTCTCTGCAGGCCTGGTCTCCCCCAACTTCCCTCCCCTGCTGGCCATCTATGGTGGCCATCTTGTGTCCACATGGGGCAGCCATCTTGTGTGTTGGAATGATCAATTTGCATATTACTATTTTATTAGCTAGGATTTTCTTTAATGAGGACATATGGTTGTAGATATAAGGGGGAGCAATGCTCATTTTGAGAAGGGTTTGCTTTCTGCATTTGGTGTGTGGGGTGCCAGTGAGTCAACCCTTCTGGGTTTTCACTGGTCGAGGACAGAGGCAAAGAACCCATTGGGGTCACCAGTCACTTAATTTATTAAAAGCAGAAGTGTGCAGGAATCCCCAAACACAGAGCTCTTTAGCTAAGCTGGATTGGGAATGTAATCACGACCACAGTTGCTTCTCTTGCTCCTGTCCCCTGATCTGGCCATTGCAGTCCCTCCTGAGAATTGGGTCCATACCTACACTGGGGTGCCTCAGAGATTTGTTAAAGTCACACAAATCATTTGTAAAAAAGAGACAGACGGGTCCTGTTGCCTTTCAGGGTAACATGTTCCCTAGTTTTTCTCCTTGCTTGGATTAGCCACTTTTCTTCTCATGAGAAGAAACAAGAACGTAGGAAGAAATAGCTTTAACCAGCGAAGCTCTGTTTAGCTGTAAGCTTTTAGTCAAGTTATTCAATCTTGAGACTGGACCTCTCAGTTCTAACTGGACCTCTCAGTTCTGTGAAGAAGCCATAAAGTTGAAATGAAATGATGTGGCTAAAGTGTTTTATAAATTGTGAAATGCCACATAAATGCAATGTGTTAATAAGTGTCTGTATCGGTACAAAGTACATATACATAATATTGTAATATTTGGTATTTTCATCAAGACTGTAAACTCCTTGCGAGGAGGAGTCATACTATTCTCAACCTTTTTTTTACTGCTCTTGTAAGTACAGGAGTATGCATTCATTGAGTACTTAAAAAATGCTGGAAACAAATGGAGTTTTGTTAGGACTGCCTTGCCGGTGGTCTGCAAATTGTGGCTCGTGAGCCAGCCTCAGTTCGCCACTCTGTTGACTAATGAGTTTGCCGACCACTGTCCTATACTGTGGTACCTGGGAAAACCTTTCTGTTTAGCTTTAAATCTCCCCTGTTTTATCCCTTACCTACCCAAGGACCATTTAAAATTGCAACTCTGCTGGGGATGGGAAAGAATTGTTTATGTCTCAGTTTGTACCTGCAAAGTTATTCTGACTGAGTTTTAAAAGTTTTCATTGTTGTTGTTAATGCAGGGCACAAGCTATAGCCATTGGTCAAGCCATGGTGGACGGACGCTGGCTGGACTGTGTCAGTCACCACGACCAGATCTTCAGGGACGAGTATGCGCTGTACAGACCCCTGCAGGTAGTTTCCGTGTTGGTGCCAGTGGGAACAGTGCTGGCTCCTGTGAGGTCTTCCTTCAGCAGCAGGAATAAAGAGTAGTTGAATTACCCAAAGATTCATTTCTCTGTTTTTTCCTTGCTGTTGGAGGAAAGTGGGAATGTTATTTTTACTTGATAGGTAGTGGTGATAAAAAATAAATCAAATAGTATTCAGTTGCTGTGGCTTTTCTCAAGCTTGGCCTTGTGATGTTATCATTGCTTGTCATTTATCTTCAGTGGTTTTCAGTTTTACTATGTCTGTGTTTTTAGGGCTAAGAGGGAGTATATATAACCAAGTGATTGGAAAATTTAATCAGTAGGTATTGATGCATTTGGCAGTATTAAATTGTATAGCAGTGATAAAACCATGAATATTCTTTTTTTTTTTTTTTTTTAAGAAAGTGAGAATATTTTAAAGATAGAAATTTTAAAAAAGAGATTTTCACCCTGGCTGGGTAGGTCACTTGGTTAGAACATTGTCTTTAGGTGCCAAGGTTGTGGGTTCTATTCCCGGTCAGCGCACATAGGAGACTCAACCAATGAATGCATAAATGGGTGGAATAGCAAATTGATGTTTCTCTCCCCTTCATCCCTCTCTAAAATCAGTCAATTTAATAAAAAATGTCAGAGTGGAATTGTCAGCATGATGTTGTTTTATATATATAACTATGTTGCTTTTATTTTTATATAAACTTATTTAGTGCTCAGTATAGCAGAAATATTGGGCTGGGATTCATTTGCAGTGTGACAGCCTCGGTGTTGCTATTGAAGGTGCATTGCTAGCTCCTGTGTTGATCCTCGCAGAGCACAGAATTTTCCGAGACCCCTTCTCCAGACAGTGACTCGGTGAACTCAGTGGAAGGACACTCTGAGCCATCCTGGTTTAAGGACATAAAGTTTGATGACAGCGACACAGAACAGATAGCTGAAGAAGGTGACGATAATTTAACTAGTGAGTCTGACTTTCAAATATTTTAGTTTTTATGACTCATTACTGTATATGTGTGATAAAATGAACGTTTTGTTTGTTTATTTACTTGAAACGATACTACTGTAAGATTTATGGCTCCAACTAAATGTAAACATCTGATAGTAATCTTTGTCCTAGATACAGTATTTTCTAAAGAAACTTGTTAGGCTACCTGCGTGTTTAGATTTTGCCATAGTCTCTAGTTTGCAGCAGCTTAAACATAACTCTGAGCTAATATCACAGCAGACAACTTTCTCACCTCTTCACTATGATATCAGACTTTCTGCAGAACCTCCAATATACCACTTCCTTTAAAAATTCATTTCACATTTAACTTGATCAAATTGTATGAAGTCTACACAGAAGTACGTGAAAATACTGTATCCATTTTGGTATTGCACATTGGGCTTGTATATTAAAAAAACATCTTTCTCCTTTCCTCCAATACCCTGATGAAACCCATTTTTTGCTCCCCTCCTCTCCCTATATTTCTTTCCCCTCCCCAACACTAAAAGATTCTGCCAGTCCTAGCAAGCGCACCTCAGTCAGCAGTTTCCAGTCCACAGTGGACAGTGACTCAGCCGCTTCTATCAGCCTGAACGTGGAGCTGGACAACGTGAACTTCCATATCAAGAAGCCCTCCAAGTACCCACATGTGCCCCCTCACCCTGCTGACCAAAAAGGTAGGAGGTAGTCACCATCTGGACTCCAAACACAGGCGGAGAGCCGGGCCGCAGGATCTTGTGCCAGCTGGTCCCTCTGGCTGCTTCTTCCCTGTGGCCGAGGGGATTCGTGTGGGTTTTATTCCACCCTCTCTCGTTTTCCCCACCTCCTCCCCACACTTTTTTTGGTTGGTTCCTTTTATTTCTTGTCTTCTCCCTTCGTACCACTCCCCCAAACCCCCATTCTAGTTTAAAGGAACTACATCTGACTGCTCTTCCCTTAATGTGCAACTTCCAAGGTGGTATTTCTTTGCATTTATAACATGGATGTTCTGCTCTATTCATTTCTCTTTCTTCATTTAACATTTTAAGGCCTGTTCGCTTATGCTGTTACCCAATAGCTTATTTCCCTAAACCTTTTCAGATGCTTGAGCTGGATTGTGGGAAAGTCATTCACATATTCCAAAACTTCTTTCTACTACCACTTAACTCTTTATGTATTTACTCTATTTATTAAACAGTTTTCTTCTTTACAAAACAAATTCATTCTTCATTCTTAGTTACCTTATTTGAGACTTTAGTCTACTAACTCAAAAATAATAATGGCCATATTAAAAGAGATTTTGTGTAGAAAGGAAAATAACATAAACTCTAAAATCTAACATAGCAACTCATGAGAAACGAAATGCTTTTAAAAAATGGGTGAAGAGGTTTACACTTTTGGAGGTAATTAAAAACCAATTTAAGATTTAGTCCTAAGGTGGCATTGTATAAAAGTAAATACATTAGTAAATAAATAATTGTGGGATTTCATTATGTTATAATAACTGAAAATCATATAAAGATGAAGCAACATACCCCATGATTTTTTCCTGAGAGTGAATTTTTAACTATTAGCTCTCTGAAGCAGAATTGTCTGCTCAGATGAGAAGTGCCTGCCTAACTCTTTACTACTTCCTATTTTGATCAGGAAAGAAAAGCTTTTGAACTTTAACAACTATGCTAAAATAATTGGAACCTTTCACATTTCTGCAACAAATTTCTCATAATTGTCAGTATTATCCATTATCTACAAGATATATCTTATTTAACAGTAGAAATTTGACAATAGACATTTAGAGAGGGTGTGAGCAAAGAGGAGACTTGAGTGGCATGACGATGAGTAAAAAATACTCATCTTTATGGGTGTCCTCAGAACGGAAGTTGGAGAAATGGTGAACATTTGGGTGAGTATAATAGGGCAGTGAAGCACACATGGCATTATGTGAGAACTAACTGGACTGTGGTCCTTGGAGGATATTGGATAATGCCTTTGTGGTACAAATTACAGATGTGGGGCAGAGGTGGGATCTGTCATGACCACTGATGTCCGTTCTCTGGACATGTCTGTTGGCAATTTTAGCTTGCTGAAAGTAGAGTCTGAAATCCATTTTGCAGATGATTTCACCTCTTGGAAAGTTAAAGTTTTGAAAATCATGAAGAAGGTGACCCCAAACTGTAAGAGAACATGTATTTGGTAAATTACAGAGATAGACGAGGTAATTCTTAGAAGAGATGGGCTTAGGGAAGTAGTTATGAAGGTAAAGGAAGGGCCCTTGGAGCTTGGGACTGAGGGAGCTAATGGTAAGGAGTGTGTGTGTGTGTGTGGGGGGGGGTGGGGGTTGGGGGGAAATGCAGGGAAAGGCATGGGAATGCTTCCGGGACTGAGAGCCCTTGGCTTTTCCTAAGAGTTTTGAGGACGGAGATTTTTTTTTTTTTTTTTTTAGGGGGGGGGACGGTTCCCAGGGAAAGATCTTAGTAGAATATTTAGTAGCCTTCCAGGTGTGTCCATTCAGGGTTGTGGTCGTCACTGTGGATTGCCTGGCACCTGGGCAGAGAGCAGTATTCTATGTAGTGGGTCCCGATAGCAGCTGTGGCTGGTTTTGTTGCTCATCTGGGCCGGAAATACAACTGAGGCCTAGATGTTATCTCCAGGGAGGAAAGGTCAGGAGGTCTAAACGGATATGCGAGGGGAAGAAAAGCCACCCTGGGGCAAGGCTCCACCTACAGTTGACAGTTCCTAGCTAGGCACCTGGTGAGCCTGGCCCATTGACCTTGCTCTGCTTCTGTCTGTCTAACGGCCTATAGCTTCAAGACATTGAAAGTAACTGTGTAAGCGGTATTGTTGCTATAGAGAAGAATGAATGCCCTTATTTTTTAAGAGATGCATACTGGAGTATTAATGGTAAAATGCAACTTCAAATGGTGTGTGTGTCGGGGGATGGGGGAGACTATATGTATTATGTAGAGAGAAATCAGATTTTGTCAAGTTAACGACTGAATCTAGGTGAAGGGAATATAGGATTTTCTGAATGTTTGAAATTTTTCGTTTAATTTTCCTGGAATTTTCATACATACGTAAGCTTTAGTATGAAGAGTAAAGCTTTGAAAGCCAATACATCACTTGAATGAACAGGGGTTGCATTACTCATTTCTGTGAGTGAGGTGTAGGAGCAAAGTGTAACATCTGTTTGAACTTGTCCATGTACTTCATTTTATCATAGACTAGTGGCCCGGTGCATGAAATTTGTACACATTAAAAGGGGATTAATTAGAGGAAATAATTTAATATTACTATTTGCCTTTTCTCTATAATAGAAGTGTCAGAGATAAAAGAAAATTAGTAAAATGTATATGAAAATCTTTCTCCTGTCAGAGTCTGGGGCATATTATGGGACTCAGAGTCAAGTCCCACCCACCTACATGCGCCACAAAATAGCATGAGACCCAGACCTGGCCAGCCTCCCCCTGCAATGGGCTAGATCCAGACCCGGCCAGTCCCACCCTTGTCAAGCCTTGCTGGGCAGGGGACGGACCCTCAGGTCCCCTGGCCTAATGCCAGGACGGGGTGGGGGGGGCATGGCCTGAGGTCCACCCCCTCCCCCCCCCTTAAGCCCTGCCAGTTATGGGACATGGCCTAAGATGCCCTGCCAAGCCCTGCTGGGTGAGGGGCGTGGCCTGAGGTCCCCCAACCCAGCATTGGGGGTGAACCTTGAAGTCCCCCGTCAAGCCCAGCTGGGTGGGGGACATGGCCTGAGTCCCCTGTCAAGCCCCCCTGCCAGGCAGGGGGTGCAGCCACAGGCCCCCTGGCCCAGTGCTGGGGTGGGGGGTGCGGCCTGAGGTCCCCGGCCTGGCACTAGGTGGGGGGAGCAGCCTGAGGTCCCCTAGGTCAGTACCAGGATGGGAAGCAAACCCCATGGGGGCGGGGAAGGGTGTAGCCTCAGGTCTTGCTGATTGCTTGTTAAGGCTCCTTATGGGAACTTGGCCTCAGCTCTAAGTGCAGCCATCTTTGTGACAGTGATGGTTAAGTAGCATATTTCCTCCCTATTAGATAGGATGGAATGGCACACTTGTATTTTCTAAATAAAATAGAACAGGCTTTTAAATAGAATTTAAAATATTCTCTCTGCTTTCTTGTTTGAAGGATGAGCATATTGGCTTATAAACATTGACTTTTGAAATCTGTTTATAAATGAGATGTACTTGGAAAGAAGTTTTTGGACAACCTACATCTTAAAGCCATAGTTGGCAAACTGCTGCTCTCCAGCCACATGCGGCTCTTTGGCCCCTTGAGTGTGGCTCTTCCACAAATACAATGGCCCGGGCGAGGCTATTTTGAGGAAGTGGCGTTAGAAGAAGTTTAGGTTTAAAAAACTTGGCTCTCAAAAGAAATGTCAATCGTTGTCCTGTTGATATTTGGCTCTGTGAACTAATGAGTTTGCTGACCACTGTCTTAAAGCATTAATATTCAACTGGTGTGCTGTAGGAATTTTTAAAACAGTACCTGACTGCTTAGGGCACTGACCTCTTTTTCCCTTAGATTATCAAATAAAACAATGACAATAGCCAGTACTATTGTCGTTGTTTTATTTGGTGTGAATGAATCAAAATTATACCCTTTATATATTATATATTTGGTGTGAATGAATCAAAATTATACCCTTTCCTGGTCAGATCAGCAAAAAATATATATTTTCTGGTGTGCTGCAGAATTTTAGTAATTTGTGTGCCATGAGGTGAAAAAGGATGAAAATCACTGCCGTTAAAGGACTTACAATGCACTGTGGTTTAATTTGCATACTAGAAAGAACCCCACTTGAGCTGTTCTTGGCCACAGACCTTCGGAAAAGTTCATGGGGAAGTAAACATTAAGTTTCACTTGCAAGAAAAAGATTTAACATTCTAAAAATTCTAAAAGCACATTCACACTGTGTTCAGCAGTTATTGCAAACAACTATTTGATAGTATTTGATTAGCATTTTTGTAAAACTAAACTTCTAATTAAAAAAACGAAAAAAAAAAAATCCTGAAGAATTATCTTTATTTCCTGCCAATATTACTTGTGTATTAATTTACTTTATAGCTATTTTGTGAAATACAAATACACCATGTATTATTTTATCAAGTAACTTCTCTCTCTGTGAAGCACCGTGCGTGTACAGTCAATATTTGTTAAGTAATGCAGTTCCACATGAGAAAAATTATGCAACTTTTAGGCTTGTTATGCAAATTACTAAAGATTTCAATTTTCATAAACCGTTTCAGTTTTGATAAGGGAAAAAAATCTGTTATAGATTATATCTAACATTACTGTTTCAGAGCTCTGGTGAGTGTTAATTCAAATATGTGAAGTTTAGTATGAAGTGGGTGAAACAAGTTAAAATATACGTTTTCGCCTAAAGCTTTCTTGAATCTTCCGGGCGGTGATAGGTTTAAGTGTGAGTCATCTTGGTGTGGGTGTGTTCTCTGTATAATTGTGCTGGCATGACCTAAGCCCCTCCTTCTTTGCTCCTCTCTCCCGGTATGCAGAGTGTCTGATTTCTGATGGTGGAGGACAACAGCTCTCAATAAGTGACGCCTTCATCAAAGGTAATTTTATCCAACGCTGTCCTTGCAGTGTTTTCTCTTTTGTTCATGAGGATATACTTAGGTCTAGCACTTTGATTGGCGCAAAGGAGAGACTAAAAATATGGTTATTTTGGTGTCATTGGAACAATTTTGAGTATGTGTAGTAACTGAGACTATTGAGACTCAAGAATATATTCTTGGGCTTGGTTTGCGAGAAGGTCTCTGATGTGAAAATTAATTCCTTAAGAGGCTATTAAGTAGACCCTTGAATTGTATTCTTTCACAGGCATAAGTAATTTATACTCTCCTATAGCATGAATATAATATTAAGTATTTGACCTATATATTGTCAAACTTGTCAAAAAGCCCACGGGCAGATCTCATTCAAGGAGGATGCTGCTTGCCCTGTGAAGTTGGGGAGGGAAGTAGGCAGAAGGGGGAATAAGAACTAACTCTGCTGGTCAATTTTTGGGAGACAAAAGGAAGTATTGAAGAATGCAAGCCTTTTCCTACACCTTTCCTGCTTAGCTGACTGTGGAGTAAAGAATCCTTACTTAATTTTCTTTACATTTCACAGTTTAGGCCTCAGGTAATGGAAGGGTTTCAAATCAAAGAGGGACTAGGACAAGCTGATACAAGGGAGGGAGGCCCCTTGCAGCTAATCTTATAACTTAGCAGTGTTTCTAAAATTCACCTCCAAGCATCTGGCTCAACGAGAAGTTTGTGGACCAGCGTTTACATAATTGAAATGTGCAGTTCTTGTACCTCACGTGTCATGGATGCGGAATGCATGCTTTACTGTGTCATCTGTGGGACTGTTTGGTTAAAAGTTTTTTTGTTTGTTTGGTTTGCTTTAAAGGGGAAAGGATTAGATCATTTTTATAAGCATTTCCCACCTCTTTTTATTTATTTAATCACATTTCAACCTTAACTTAGCATATTTTTTGTAAAACATTTAATATTACCTATTATTTTTTTTTATCTGGATCCATTTCTATTCTCTTAAAAAATGTAAGGCTTGTACAGCATTTTAGGTATATTGTTATTCTGTTTCAATGTGTCTTTCTAGCTAATTTTGGGGTCTGACTTGTAAAAGTTTGGCTAAAGAGAAAGCCTGTGTGCTCACATTGAAAAAGAAGCACCCTCTGGGATGGTCCAAACAGACTTCTGCACTGTCCCTGTGGGTTCGGCCCCCTCACCCACATGCTGCTCTGTCACCATTCACATTTCTGCTGGTGGTAGCTTTCAGTTCGTAGTTTTTGAGGGAAGATTAACCCTCTCCCTTTTTAATCTCCCAAAAGTACTAGAAAATCTCATTTTATTTGCTTTTCAGAAGCTGTATTTATAATTATTGGCTTGAGAATCCTACTTGCTTATGTAAATTTTTTTCATAGTTCTGTTTGATTTTAGCTGTTGCAAATATTGATGATATAACAGATTTAATTCTTTTATTTATGTATTTGTATATGTCTGCCTTTTTACACCAACAATTTGAATTGCCTAACTTAAAAAAATTTTAAAAAATAAATTATGTGTAGAATCTCAGAGGGAAGAAGGCAAGGGAGGGTGGATGGGCGGGAAGGGAGCAACCAAAGAACTTGTGTGCAGAGATGCATGATCCATGGTCACAGACAACAGGGTGGTGAAGGCCTGGGGCAGGGGCGGAGGAGGACTAGAAAAAGATTTAGAAAAAATAAGAAAATTATGGCAGCCTCTAAATCATAGGTTGATGATGTAAAACATGATAATAAGTATAATTCTCACTGTACACTTTACTTAGAGTCCTTATTTAACCGCCGAGTGGAGGAGAAATCCAAAGAGCTGCCTTTCACACCTTTGGGCTGGCACCACAACAACCTGGAGCTGCTTCGGGAGGAGAATGGAGAGAAGCAAGCCATGGAGAGGTTGCTGTAAGCAGAGCGCTTTTCATTTTAACTTCCTCCTTCAGTATCTTCAGTGGCTTGACAGGCATATGTGTAGTTCTTTTTCTTTATAAAAACAAAACAAGTATTTTAATAAAACAAGGGTCCTAAACTGTGCCTGTCTGTCCCTTCTGCAATCTATGTGTTAAGATTTTTATCAGATTAAAGTTTTATCAGATTTGAAGATACTCACAACTTTATTTATGTCTAGATCATTAAGGTGCAGGTATAATGAAAGAATAAAATTGACCAGGAAGACCTTATCTGTGAGCCTTTCTTTATATGCTGACTAGAGGCCCAGAGCACGAAATTCGTGTAAGATTAGGCCTGCCTTCCCTCTGCTGCCTGCCCCGCTTGCTTCTGGCACTCGGGACCAGGCTCCCCTCACAGCCCCAGCTTCGTCAGTCTAATTAGCATAATACACTTTTATTATCATAGATTTCTCTGTAGACTGCCTATTGCATCTTCAGAATTATTGCCTCTGTCAGTATTAATCATGATTTCTTTTTTGTAACATTTTTGTAGTTCAGCTAATCATAACCACATGATGGCACTACTCCAACAGCTGCTCCATAGTGAGTCATTGTCACCATCTTGGAGGGACATCATTGTATCGCTGGTCTGCCAGGTCGTTCAGACAGTCCGACCTGATGTGAAGAACCGCGATGATGACATGGATATCCGTCAGTTTGTCCACATCAAAAAAGTGAGTGGGATCCCAGATTGGAGAGGGTGCAGGCTGGGCTGAGGGACAAATTTTGTGCACTGGGCCTCTAGTAATACTGTAAGTATGCTAGTACATGCCTCCATTACAGTTTGTGACATGCATCACAAACTGTAATGGAGGCATGTACTAGCATACTTATTTTTTCTGAGTTGGTTATAAAGCACATTTGGAAAGGATTATGCAGTTAGACTGATGTAAGGTTTAATTACATAATATTTCACATATAGCTGTGACAATGTGTGCTTTCAAGATTTATCAGCTAAGCTGAAATGGAGATCTTACAAAGTGGCTTGTAAGCAAGACCATCTTCCAAAGCTGGCCCTTCTTTGGGTAACATTGTTGTAGTTTTTGAGAGTTTATATGTCCCGAGGCTTCTTTCTTAAATACTCAAATGCCACCAAGTACCTTTGAGAGAACAGATGTGCTCTAGGAATACTTTTACAACAAAGCAGAGTGAGTAATACAAAACAAAACAGTCGATCTGAATCCCCTTGAAAAGCATCATGAGTAGTTGGGGAGCATTCTTTAATTCTCAACTTTAATCCTCTTGTGTTTACAGAAGCTTTCGGGTTTTGGTATTTAATTGGTAGCAAACAGCAGATAATAAAATGCACTCATCAAACTTAAATAAAAGAAATAAAATTAATTCATTAAATAAAAGGGTCATTACCATGAGGGTGCTAGACAAGGAGGGGGAGGTTTTTCTTTCTGCTGTATTTGTTAGCAATGCACTTAAAGGGCATGGAAGCTACTCAGGAAGTGAGAGGTGAATGGGCTAGTGAGGGGTGTGGGGTGAGTTGGGAACCAAACAAATATAGTTTCTTCCTTTCTTGTTTCCTCTTCTGTGGTGTGTCATGTATGAGAAGGCTTGCACTCAGATAACTGTCACTGTTCTGAGGAAAAGCAGTGGGTAATTGCTTTATTTAGATGGTAATGGAGCACTTTATTTATACCAGTGCTAATAAATGGAAACCGGATGTATAATAGTGGTTTTAATTGCCAGGTTATACCAATTTGTTCACTCAAATGTGTATTTTAAAGTACCAGAGGAGGAGGTGTGAAAATAGACAATTGTGTTAGATACCATTAATTTTTGTTTGAAAGGAAGAACTATATCCTGAAACTTTCTGTGATTTTATTATGTAATAGATAAAATACAAAGTGGAAATAAATAACAGCATCTATCTGACTGGAACCTAAGGATGTATAATTGAATTTTGTTGCTTTCTTATTTCATTAGATCTCAGGTGGAAAGAAGTTTGATTCTGTGGTTGTCAATGGATTTGTTTGTACCAAGAATATTGCACATAAAAAGGTAATACGATGCTGTTCAGCAGTGAAGTTCAGCCTGCTGTGACTTGTGCCAAACTAATAAGTTGCAATACCCTCATCATGGACATAAAGGAGAAGGGACATTGAGGCCTGGCGGGGGGCAAAATTTTGAAGGTTCAGGATAGGTCCTCCAGAAATTAAGATGATTGGGACTTGGAAATGGAGTTCATCAGAAGAAAGATGGGAAGGGAGGTTTAGGCTTTCAGACCAGCACAATGATAAGATACTAGTGGAAACTCAGAGATCCCTACGTGCCAGATGGGAATGGGAGGGGTTGAGGGAAGCAGGCCAAGGGCTTTGTAGCCCATGAAGTCTCTTATGCTTTATTCCGAAGATCACTGGTTCTCAAAGTGTAGTGTACATTGGGATCATGGATAGACCTTGTTAAAAATGTAGGTTCCTAAGCCCCTCCCCTGAAGAGTCTCACTCAGTAAGTTTAGGGGAGTGAGAGTGTGGGAAATAGGGGCAGGGCGGGCTGCTGTTATAGTGGGCATTGGTGGGGGAGGAGGGTCCCATGTCATTTATTGATCCTTACCTTTTTGAGAATCCAGTAATCTATTATACAATAGAGTCCTCAAACCTTCTGTGCTTCAGAATCACTAAGGAAGCTTACTGAAACCTCTGTACCTGACCCCATCTCTGGGAATATTGATGTGGTTAGTGTGAGAACTCAGGCAGATGTCTAGCTTAGGGTCTAGATGGATGAGCTATAGCCCTGTCTTCACTTTTCTAAAGAGACTAATACTTTATTTTTTGTAAGGCATTAAGCCTTCTGAAAATGGTTAGTCATAGTAGATAAATAAAAGTATGTCTGGATTTGATATTTCATGGCAGTGATCCAAAGCCAGTAGGCCTACATTGTCTTTCTAAAATAGTACATTACCCATTAAAGTAGTCCTTTAGACCAGATTAAATGAGCTCTGTCGAACAAAGAGGTAAATTTGTTGCGTTCTTCCCCAGAACTGAAAATTGTATGAGGGGGTGGTAGAAGCATGCCTGAATGAGTGTCTTGCCCCACTGCCCATATTTAGCTAGTCTTTACTTCGTAGTTTCTGGAAGAGCCCTGACTGTAGTCCCCTTGCTGGTGAGTCACTGTTCTCAGGACCGTTTGTCAGCTGGGAGTCTATATGCTTGGTCAGTCTGGAACTCCACTCCATTGGAGCATTCAGGCTGTCTGCCCGTCTTCAGTTGCATGGTTAGGGTATATTGGTTGACTGCTTCTGAGGATGCTTTAAGGTGTTTTTTAAACTTCTTGTTACTCAATTGGCTTGCCAATATATGATGCTTTGAAATTTATTCTTTTAGAAATATATTCAGGAAGCATTTTAACCAATTTCTCCTTCCTCTACACTTCTTGAGTCTTTGCGAAGTTAACTTGGTATAAGAGATACCAAGTCTGGGGCTTTAAAGACTCTCAGACTTGGTATCTCTTATTGCAGTGTTAAAAATAAGATAATAGTTAAGATTATAGTGGACTAGATTAAAATAGCATTTGTGAAACAAAGCCTAATTTTGTAGTGCTTTGAACTAACTTATTTGCTTTGAAAAATAAGAGTACCACAAAAGAACTAAATGAGAGTATTTTAATACAAATATAAGAACAGAATAAATTTGAAGTTATGATTAAAGAACGTCTATAAAGTACACACTTTAAAAATTTAACAGACTGGTGTGTTGTGTTTTTTTGTAGATGAATTCTTGTATTAAAAATCCCAAAATTCTTCTATTGAAGTGTTCCATTGAGTACCTCTACAGAGAAGAAACTAAGTTTACTTGCATTGACCCTATTGTGCTGCAGGTAAGAACGTCTAACTGGAACAAGGACCTAGAAGGGTATTTGTATACTGTGATGCCTGTCAATTCCTACAACTTATTCCCGCTGGTGAAATCTGACAGGCAAAGAAACTTGATTGCTCTTGTTTTATTTTAAACATTTATTTGAAAAGACATTTTCCCGTAGTACACTTTAGAAGGTTACCAAAAACCTGTCTCTTCTTTAAGGATTCAAAGTGTTAAAGGGAACATAATGACTTTCAGGGAATATATGAGGTAAAAGAGTGAAAATCCAATTCTGGTTTTCCTTCTCATTTGGGTCATTGATTTACTTTAAGGATTTCTCTATCTTACCAGGTTTCCAGTAGCACTACCTGGTTTTTATATAGCTTTTCTCTTCATACACATGTTCTTAGAACATCAGTTTGTTTTATGAGCCATTAGTAAATGGGCATAATGTCAGATGGAAGTTGTGCTGGTTTCCATGTGGTTCTTCATAAGTAAGGGGACCCAGAAAGCTTAGTCGGAGTATACCCCTCAGCTCTGTGGCTGCACCCTTCTGACTCTGCGTTAGGAGGTTAAAAGGGAGCTGCTGCCCAAAGGGCTCCCTCCCAGGAGCTGTTACTCCTCTGCTGCTCAGCGCTCCATGCCAGCTGTGCCGCTGCAGTGCTTTTATACATTGTGAGTCTCCCTGAGGCAGCCTCCCGCTATGCTGAGCAGCCTGCCTAGGCCTTCCCAGTTCTCTCTCAGGTACCAGTTATTATTTTTGTTAGTGCCCTGCATATGAAGTGGCATAGGTTTTTAAATTTTCTGCTCCAACTCTTTTTACTCCATAAATGGTATTAGTTTTAATTGGTGATTGTTCAAAATGGGATACTTTCAGAAATGTGTATATCTTATTATTGCAGAAACACTTATATTCAGTTCCAGAAACAATTAGGAAGAACATTACTTGGAAATCATAGGTGATAGGCACATTTTTCAGAGAGTGGAAGGCACGATCACTTTTGAACTGAATCCTAGACACCACCAGAAAGAACTGCCTTGTGGTGAAAGGCAGCAGGGTTGTGAAACTTTGACTCTCTGCCCTGTTGCTTAATGAACTCTGTTACCTGGGCTGTTTTCTTGTTTGGAATTTAGCCATGTTTCAATAAAAATGAGAGTGTTTGACCAGATACCTACCAGTTTTCTAGCTCTGACTCTGTGGCTTTTCAATGGAGAACTGAAATAAGGAATAAGAGGAAATACAATTATCATTCATGGTACTCTAAGGCTGGTTTTCTGGATCTCACCAAGAGTGTCAGCAAAAAAAGATTTGATCACAACTACATTGATCGTAATACATATCCTGGTTGCAGAGATGGTACAATGTGTAAAATTGTGCATCTTGAAATTGATGATCTAGGTAATTGAAATCCACAATATAATTTTCAAAAAAGTTATACTTAAATTTATCTGCTTTATTTTAACCCCATTCTTGCAGTCAGATTAACAGACTAAAGTCTTTACATGCTAGAGAAGCATGCTCTGAGCAAATATGTACTTAAGCAACATGGCTTGATTTGTATAGCCTCAAGCATCCTGTTCGGAGGTGCTGTAAGACATGGCTTATAATAGCTCTAACTCCTGCCATATTACAGGTTTTAGGTGGAGTTGATAGAAAATATCATCTGATTTGATTTTTTCCTTCCTCCCTATTCAGTTGTGGAATAACTAAATAATCAAAGAAGCTGAAAAGTAGATAGAAGGAGGAAGATGAGAAACCAAGAACAAGGAGGAAATGAGCCTAGATCTTAACACTGTTTTCACCGGGCCCACCCTGTAGGTCTCTTGCCACTACCCTCTTCCATGCTCATGACCTGCCTCCTGATACTCTCTTGTTGTGGACTCGGGCCCAGGCCTTTTTTTTTTTTTTAATGGTGTCTAATGTACAATCGTTATACACTTAAAGGCCCGGTGCACAAAACTCATGTGCTGGTGAGGGGGTGGTGTCCCTCAGCTTGGCCTGAGCCCTTTCACGGTCCAGGACCCCTTGGGAGATGTCACCTGCTGGTTTTCTTCTGACTACTTTTAAGATGTTCTCTGCCTTTTTTTCTTTTTTTTTTTTTTTTTTTTTTTTTTTTTTGGTAGTTTCCCTCTAATGCACCCAGGTATTTTTTTTTTTTTTTTTCCTCCTCACAGTCCTTGCAGTCTGGGACCCCCCGGCGATGTCTGACTGCCGGCTTGGGATCGGGCTGAAGTTGGCAGTTGGACATCCCTCATAATCCAGGTTCCCTTGCTCCTTACCACTCAGCTTGCTGCTCCTTAGCACTGCCGTGGAGGCGGGGGAGTCTCCTGCCCCCGCCGCTGCACTCACCAGTTGTGTATATCCTGTGGGAGTGCACTGACCATCAGGGTGCAGTTCCTGCATTTAGCGTCTGCCTCTGGTAGTCAGTGCACATCATAGCAACTGGTTGTTCTGGTCGTTCCACCCTAATGGTTGCTTAGGCTTTTATTATATAGACTAGGAGCCCAGTGCACGAATTTGTGCCCTTGGAAAGGATCTGTGGGCTATGAGGCTGCGGTGGGCACGGGGAGGGGTCTAGGCCCATCCCCCACACCCCCACCCAGCTCCTCCTGCCAGCCTCCCGGTCCACTATCTCCTAGCAGCCCCGCCCGCCACTGCCTCTCCCACGCGCTGACAGCTCCGGCCTCACTCACACCCACTGACAGTGTGGAGCGACTGGGGCCAGTGCCAACAGTGGGTGCCAGCAGTGGCTGCTGCCCTGATCCTCCCTCAGGAGCCAGGGAGGTGGAGAAGTCCTCAGGGGAGATCAGAACCTGCAGCCATCCCTCGAACCCACTGATGACACTGAGTGATGTGGACTGGCACCAGGCCCCGGCAGTGGGTGCGAGTGGTGGCTCCAGTGCCAGGAGTGGGTGCGAGCACTGGGTGGGGCCATGGCACGTGGGAGCAAAGAATTTTCAGTAACCACCGGAGGCTCACCCTGATGGCAGTGACCGGCATCTTGCCTTGGTCTGGTGTCCCCGCTCACCTGCTCCACCATCCTGCTGCAGCTGACACCCACCATGTTCCATGCTCTGCCGCCTGCTGCCGATGCCCACCATGTTCTATGCACATCCCCTAGTGGTCAGCGCATGTCATAGTGACTGGTTGTTTGGTTGTTCCACCTTTCGGTCTATTTGCATATTAGGGTTTTCTATATATAGATGATTTGAGTTGGAGTGGGAGGAAATGTATTTGCCATTTCTGTACCAGAGGGTAAAAACTTGAATAAAGTCACCTTGTACTTTATTAGAGCTCCACAAATAAATTAGTTTTGTTAAGAATGGGAAATTAGGAAATAACTTTTATCAGTGAAGCAGTGAGGTGAGAAGAAATATAATAGGGCAGGTTCATTGAGTGACTAGTCTCTTCCATTGTTGGTGGCACTGACCAACCATGAATACAATCTTGCTCAGCAAACACTTTGGGCAGATGGCGCAGAAGTGACAACATGCTCACAGGCTGTTATTTCCTGTCTGAGCCTACAAGTTTTAAGAAACAATTAATGAATTACATTGTTTTAATTCTGGTATTTATAATACTCATTTGCTTGAAAATAAACCTTTTTCATGAAAATTGTATTAAGAATTACGTTTTAACTTTTAACTAACTGTTCTAGGTAGAGTATGATCTGTTGAAAGAATGAAATTAGGAAGTAGCTGAGAGTATGTTAGAGAGTTATTTATACAGATGCTTAAAAAAATAGTTGCTCTGGTTACTTTCAGAATGCAAAAAGGGGGAATACTAAAAACACTAGAAATTGCTTTCATTTTAGGGGTCATAAGATTAGGGTTTTTTGTTTTGTTTTAACCTCTGAGAGCTAGCTGATTGGATTCTTGGTTTTTATAGTACAGGTTATTAAGAATTAAAATCTTTCAAGTAGTACTTGTGAGTTGAAGAATGGAATTTCTCCTGAACTCTTTTAAGCATAATCAGCAGTTTGGAAAGATGAATACTATTCTTGGTTGTGTTTGAATGGACTTGCTTATAGACTTATTTATGGATGAGGAAAACTTCAACTAAGATTGATATTAACAGGCAAGCCATGCTGACATTTTAATGTGTAGATCTTGAATTGCACCAGGTATAATATTTCTGATTTTTGTCCTTTAGGAAAGAGAATTCCTGAAGAATTATGTTCAGCGAATAGTTGATGTCCGACCCACTCTGGTTCTGGTTGAGAAAACGGTATCTCGGATTGCCCAGGACATGTTACTGGAACATGGCATCACTTTGGTCATTAATGTCAAATCAGTGAGTTTTCTTATTTTTCTGTTATTTAAATCACAGCTTTTGATTGTATTTGCATGTGTGGCAGGGACGCAGGGACCACTGATTATTCGTTTCTTTGCTGACCATGTGCATTGAAAGTAGGACAGGAGGCACTTCATTATTTCAGACTGGAGCCCTCGGGCCGGAAGAAAGTATGACTGATTATGTAACACTCGGCATTGGTGTCTGCAGTCGCCATTCACTAAGTGGTATTTGTCGGTCCCTCAGATTGTTTGGGGAATTGTACAGCAGAACATGTTTCTCCCTTGACAAGTAACTCCCTTCAGAACAGAGGCCCATTCCAGAAGTCCCCGCCCCCAACCCCTGCGCCAGTGAATGATGCTTAAATGCCTTTTGATAATGTTTTCAATATACGTATGGTTTATTTTATTGTTTTTCCTAAGCAACTACGTGTGGACTAATCTAGGATCAAAAAGGGTCAGTCATATAAGTATTAAAATTAAAGAAATTCATTGTAAAGGTTATTTTTAAAGTTTTTATTTTCCAGATTAAATTTACTAAGAATTTTTTCTCTCCCATTTTGTAATATAATGTTTTTCTGTGTTCTAGCAAGTTTTAGAACGAATCAGCCGGATGACCCAAGGTGATTTAGTGATGTCGATGGACCAGCTGCTTACAAAACCTCACCTGGGCACCTGTCACAAATTTTATATGCAAATATTCCAGTTGCCTACTGGTGAGTGATCTTTTTTTTAATCTTTATTGTGGAAAGCATTACATATGTCCTCTTTCCCCCCCATTAATCCCTTCTAGCCGACTGGTGAGTGATCTTTAGCACAGATTCACCTGAGATCGGTGTCTGAGGTTCTTAGTAACCTCACCAGCACTACAGTGTTCACCTAGTAGGAGACACCTGTTAGCATTGGTTAAATGAGGGCAGGCAGCTGTGACCTTTTTCCTTGTATTATAGATGTTGTGAATTCATTCCGTCTGAACCTGTGGATTTCCACCTACTCTTTAATTTTTTGTTTGTTTCTTTGTAGAACAAACCAAAACACTGATGTTTTTTGAAGGCTGTGCCCAGCACCTGGGCTGCACAATCAAGCTCAGAGGAGGCTCTGATTATGAGCTGGCTCGAGTGAAGGAGATCCTAATATTTATGATCTGTGTAGCTTATCACTCTCAACTCGAAATCTCCTTCCTCATGGACGAGTTTGCTATGCCTCCGACGTTGACACAGAACCCTTCCTTCCACTCTCTGATCGAGGGGCAGGAGGACGAAGGGGCCGCACAGGAGTCCTTCAGCGGCAGCCCCCTCCCCCGGGAGCCCGACTTCGCCCCGGAGCCCCTGCCCTGTGACGGCAGCAGCCTGCTGGAGGCCGGGCTCGTGTTCGAGAAGGGCGAGCAGGAAGGTGACAGCGGCCCCCAGGACGCCGCCCCCGGGAAGCCCCAGGAGCCCCCCGAGGCAGCCTGCCCGCCGGGCGTCCCCTGCGCTCTCTTCCCGTCAGTGCCTGAGCCGCTGCTGCTGCTCCACGTGGACGAGCCGCAGGCCGCCCCCGGCGCCGGGCAGCCGGAGGCCCCGCAGCTCTCCGATGAGCTGGAGGATCCCAAAGGCCAGCGGAAGGCCTTCCGAGACCCGCTGCAGGACGACACCGGCCTCTACGTCACCGAGGAGGTCACCTCTTCGGAAGACAAGCTCAAGACCTACTCCTCGGCCTTTAAACAGGAGCTGCAGGACGTGATCCTCTGCATCTCCCCGGTCATCACGTTCCGGGAGCCCTTCCTGCTCACGGAGAAGGGGATGAGGTGCTCCACCCGAGACTATTTTGCAGAGCAGGTCTACTGGTCCCCGCTCCTCAACAAGGAGCTCAAAGAGATGGAGAGCCGGCGGAAGAAGCAGCTGCTCCGGGACCTCCCCGGCCTCCAGGGCATGAACGGCAGCGTGCAGGCCAAGGCCACTCCGGTCCTGCCCTCGCATGAGCTCGTGAGCACGAGGATCGCCGAGCACCTGGGCGGCAGCCGGAGCCTGGGCAGGATGCTGGCCGACTATCGGGCCAGAGGAGGCAGGATTCAGAAGAGTTCAGACCCTTTTGCTTATGCAAAGGATGTACCAGGTACTCCAAGCGTCAAATCAGGAAGCAGAACTGAGAGTGATGAAGAGAAAGGCTTGATACCAAGTGACACATTGTGGTCGTCAAAGGTAGGCAAGCACAGTTTGGCTGCTGTGTAACTTTAGAATGTGCTGAGAACTTTATGGCGGGGCGAGAAAAAATCAGTGTGACAAATTGCATGCAGATTGACTTATTTTATGCCTTTGGTGGTGTCAGGTCTGTTGACTTACATGTTGCTTTAAAATGTATGAAGTAGGGGTATCATGCAGTGAAGCTGTGTTTTGAGGATTTCAAGCTGAGCTCATGATAAACTAGGGAGAGCTGTGAAGGAGGGGGAGTGTGGAGCTGCTGAAGCATTTTGGCCGGAGGACTTGGGTTTGGTGGGGTTGGTAAGTGACCCATGGAAGGTTGTTGTAGGAAATGAATGTGTTTTTTAAAAAATAATACATTTGTTCATTTATAAACACGGAACGCCTTACATTGTTATTTAATTATGGCAGCACCCTTTATCTTTTCATTTAAAAAAAATTGAGGGCAAATTAAGGAAGATCCATTCATGAGTACATTATTGATCATGGTGGCAATGAAGCTAACGAACAAATCCATCTCTAGAGGAGGAAATGGTTGTTTAATAAAATGCATGGAAGTGCCAGGTAATAATGCTGCCCCAAGTTTCATTTGTGAGGTTGGCTGAAGAGCCTTGGCTAATGAGGTACAGAAAGTACTTAGAATAAACATCATGTGAAACGAGGCCCGATGCAAGGACTCCATGCAAGAGCAGGCCCTCCCTCCCCCGGCTGCCGGCACCAGCTTCCCTCGCAGCCCTGCTTTGTCTGGAAGGATGTCCGGTCTAATTAGCATACTATACTTTTATTGCTATAGATTATGTTTATATACACTTATGTAATGCATTCAAAGATAGGGAGGTAGCTGTTCATTTACATGAACATGCATATACCTTGGATTCAGGATTCCTTCTTTTATAACTTGATTCCTATACTAATAAGTAAGCATTTTGTACAAGGATGCTTACAATTTATTAGACTATATGTACAAGGATATTTTTACATAATTTCTGAGGCATAATTTATAGTTGTTTGCTATAAAAACAATGAATTGTATCTTACTTAATGGCCAGATAGAACCTATAGTATGCTTTCAAGTGTTAAAAGGCAAGTTGTATTTTAATAGATGTAGCATCATCCCATTTTTATAAAAACAATCCCCAGTGTATACTTACGTTGGGGTTTCTGTGTGTATGTATGTGTGACCTAGTAGCAAGAATGAACAGTCTTTAACTATATGGTCAGATTTGCCCATTTGTGGGATCAGGTGGCCTCAAAGGAGGAAAGGCTTTAGGTATTCCATGCACTTTTCCATTTGCCTCTGTATTATCTGAATTCAACAGAGAGTGGGCATTACCTTTGAAATGATCAAAAACAGGTGTAAAGTACAAATAAGAAAATACCTTGGAATTTAGGTATCTGTATGTCTCAAATTGATGTTTTAACACTTGAAGCATGATGTTATATACAGCCATTAGTTCATTCTGTTTCATATATAATTAACTATGTATTTCCAGAACAATTTAATTTTGTAAAAATAAATAGTATTTAAGATTAAACAAGCTATTTAGATGATCCTTTGTGTTTTTAACTCAAACTTAAAAAAATGTTTTATTGATTAGGAAGGAAGAAGGATAGATAGCTAGAAACATCAATGAGAGAGAAACATCGACCAGCTGCCTCCTACACACCCCCTAACGGGAATGTGCCCGCAACCAAGGTACATGCCCCCGACCAGAATTGAACCCGGGACCCTTCAGTCCTCAGGCTAACGCTCTATCCACTGAGCCAAACCGGTTTTGGCTAACTCAAACTTTTTAGATTGTTTTATCATAAAAACTAATGGGTCTTCTTTGTATTTAGTTTCTTTTAAATCTTCAGCAGAACCCTACAGATAGGAGGCCTTCAGAACGGAGTGGGACGTGTTAGGTGTTAGAAGCGAGCGCTGGGCCTGGAGTGTGTGATGACTTGTGGGTGCTCCTTTCCTCCTGCAGGTGGACTGCCTGAACCCTGCCAACCACCAGAGGCTGTGCGTGCTCTTCAGCAGCTCCTCCGCCCAGTCCAGCAACGCCCCCAGTGCCTGCGTCAGTCCTTGGTAGGATTCCTGTCTCCTGCACCCTGCACTTTTCCTGAGAACTTTAAGTAATTTAAGAACTTTAATTCAGTAGCTTTAAGTAAAAATTCAGCCCTAGGGTCTGTTTTTAGGAATATGGTGTGCTGATGTTATATATGCGTTAATAGAACTTCTAAAACTTGTGAGTAAAATATGCAATTTGTTTGTTCCTGCTAGAAGTGAATGAGAACATCTTAAGTCAGAGTAAACAGAATGCGAGGCTGAAAGAGAAGTTTGTTATTATAATGAGGAAATAGATACAAAAGCTAGTTTTCAGCATTTTGACATTAATGTAATTTAGGCAGGTTGTCCTTTAGGCATTAGTTTTATTAAAACAGTCAGTCTTTGCCTTGAGTTTTATTTCAAAATTTAATTCTAAGTAGATTGATAGAAACATGTTTTATAATGTTACACACAAACACACCCTATATAATTAAAAGCCTAATATGCTAAGTGTCCAGTCGACTGGTTGGCTGTTCAGCCAACCGAAGTATAATAGGCTAATATGCTAAGGCTGCTCAACTGCTCGCTATGACATGCACTGACCTCCAGGGGGCAGACAGTTGACCAGTTGACCCAGGGGCAGACACTCTGACCAATAGGTTAGCTTGCTGCTGGAGTCCCACTGATCGGATCGGGACTGAGCAAGGCGGGCTGAACACACCCTGGAGCCCTCCTGTGGTCCCTCCCCTGCTGGCCAACCTCCCATGTTTCTCCCTAGCCCCGATCGTGCACCAGTGGGGTCCTTTGGCCTGGCCTGTGCCCTCTTGCAACCTGGGACCTCTCAAGGGATGTGGGAGAGCTGGTTTCGGCCTGATTCCACAGGGAGCACTGCTCAGCCAGAAGCCTGGCTCTTGGCTGGCGAGTGCAGTGGCAGTGGCAGGAGCCTCTCCCACCTTCGCTGCATCCCTTGAGGGCTCCTGGACTGCAAGAGGGCACAGTCCGGGCTGAGGGACCTCCCTGTCCCCCCCCCCCACCACCACCACCATCAGTGCAGGCATTTCATGCACCGGGTCTCTAGTATATTTATATTTATACATAAATGATTTGTTTGAAATGATAGTCCCAAAGCCTAGTTATTACATAGCTATCTTTAGTTTTAAAGTACCGTAGCACTGTTTCTATGACAAAGTGTGTCTCATATTTTCACTTTGGATGTCTGCCAGTGAGACCAGGGATTCTAGTATCATCAGGGACGGGCTGAGGGAGCCCAGATAATGTTCTTTCCAGGTGTCTGGACTGACTCCTTAGGTCAAGACTTGAATGAGATGGGGGCTTCAACACTGGTCAGCTAAACTCTTGTTTGTGGGTTTTTATAAGTTAGCATCAGAGTGAGGAATTGGCTCTCCTGGAAGAATTTGAGCTGCGGTTCACCAAGCTCAGTGAGGTGTGGGCTAGAGAGCAGGAGACAGGAGTCCCATTTTGTGTTGACAGGGCTTAAGGCTTTGGAAAAGAGATGTGTACTCATTTAATATTATAATTATCCCGATTAAATAGTTTCATAAGATACTAATGGACTGGGCGTGGATAAGATGCTGAAGTGTAGCTAGTCCAAACTCGTTTTATCAGCTGAAGCAAAACCTGTTCTGTAACAAGAGAATACTACCTGCATTATTCTATATCATAAGCACATCTAGTAGACAGTCTGTGTCTCGTGAAATCTTTGCTGTGTGGTAAGCCTCATGAAACATTACTAAGAAGTGGTCTCTTTTTTTAGGATTGTAACAATGGAGTTTTATGGAAAGAATGATCTCACATTGGGAATATTTTTAGAGAGATACTGTTTCAGGTAAGAGTATACTTTCTCTTTATGTTCCACTTGTGCTTTTTTGATGCCCGGAATTTCAACCTAGAACATAAACATGAGTTTATTCTTGTGTGGCCTTCACTTTCATGCCACACGCAAAGAAGCAGTCTATTTCATACACTCTCCAGGGTGTCTTATCCAGTTCATTCCTCAAGTCTTTGCCCATCTAATTGTCCTTCCAGTCCTATGGCTTTTTTTTTAGGTTTTGTGTTTTTACAGTGATTCCAGTGAGAAGCAAAAGAAGCATAGGTTCTCATTGTCAAGCCTTAGTGCTATCACCTGCTATTTATATTTCAAAGAGCAAGTAATTTGATCTTTACCAGCCCCCTTTGTAGGGAATAACAAGCTCCAGAAATAGGAGTTTTAGGAATGCTCAGCAAATAAAAGGTGTTACCAAGTGGATTATACTTGAAGGCAGGATGATCAGCTGTTGGCCCCACGTGGAGCCCCGCAGACCGTCCACCAGTCATTCTTACTCGAGAGAGGATACTGCACTTTCTCGACAGTGGATTAGACTGTAGTTATTCATGACACATTGCTTTTCAGCTTTATGGTTAATGCGAGGACTTTACTCTTTGTCACAGGCCTTCTTACCAGTGCCCTAGCATGTTCTGTGACACCCCCATGGTGCATCACGTCCGGCGCTTTGTGCATGGCCAGGGCTGTGTGCAGATCATCCTGAAGGAGCTGGATTCTCCAGTGCCTGGATATCAGCATACAATTCTCACCTATTCCTGGTGCAGGATCTGCAAACAGGTAAATGCACCCTGTGGCTATATTCCATAGGATATTTATTTCTTTATTGTATAGTTCTTTTCTGTGAGGGAAGGAGGTCTGTTATTTTGAATGTGTTATTTGTCATTGGGCTCAAATTTATTTACCTTCTAGTGCTGTATGTTCTATTTCATGTTTGTTTCTTAAAGATTTTATTTTAGAATTTATCGGTCATTATGAAAAACATAGGTACCTTGTCTAGTAAAATATATGGAGATGATGTCTAGACAGTTCTCAGTTATGTTTGTTTATTCATTCAGCAAACACTTATTTGGCACTATCTATGTTCCTGATACTATACTAGGCCCTAGGAATGAAAAAGAGCAAGTACAAGGACTCTTTGTTTCTCTAGAGGAGGAGTCAGACTGGTAACTGTATGCTGGGATGTTTGTTTTGAGCTTATAGCTACATTTCTACTACAGATGAGGCCCTATTTAAATTCATCTCTACTGTTTTTTTTATGTACATGCTAAAGAAAAGAACAACATGTCTTTTTCCTTCAGGGTGTGTGTGTGTATTTTGTAACTCCAGAGGAAGTATTTGGTATCAGTATCGGTTTTAATATATACTTTCAATCAAATTATTTGATTGAAATATGTGCCAAATTTAACTTCATTAGTATCTTTATTGGTTTATTTTGTAGTGCGCTTTGGAAGGCATGTGTGGGAATTCCAGGTAAATTGACAGTGTGATCTACACTGATGTCAGTGGTTGAGGAGGGCGGAATTGGTTAGTTCCTTCTGCAGTAGCAAGCAGACAGCCATGATATCATTCCTTGCAATATTCAGTCTTACCTTTAAAAAAAAATATGTATTTTTTATTAATTTCAGAGAGGACGGGAGAGGGGGAGAGAGAGAGAAACATCAGTGATGAGAGAGAATCATTGATCAGCTGCCTCCTGCACGCCCCTGACTGGGGATGGAGCCCACAGCCCTCGCAGTTGCATTGACGAGGAACTGAACTATGACCTCCTGGCCGTAGGGCCAAGCTCAATCACTGAGCCACACCAGCCAGCCACAGACTTACTTAAAAATGGGCAAAGGCCATGACAAAGCAACTTAATACCGATGGCCAGGAGTTTGTGAAAATAAATTTTGTGTACTAGTAGTCAAAGAAGTATAAGTAAAAACCAGAGAAGTGTATTTCTATTTTTGTTCTTAAGAAATCACATTTCAAAGGTTTGTAATTCCTGGGATTGGTAAGCGGGTGGGGAATTGGTACTCGGATCCTGTTCGAGGTTGTGTAAACTACTAGTCCTGTTTTGGAAAAACAGTCTGGCAAAACGTGGCAAAGACTGTGTAAATGTCCATGTTCTTTGAACTACCAATTACTACTCTCTTTTATATATATATATGTTGATTTCTGAAAGGAAGGGAGAGGGACAGAGAGAAAGAAACATCAATGAAAGGAAGTTTATTAGAGCCTCATCAAAATAAAGAACAACTTGTAAATGACTTAAATGCCCATCATTAAGGATTGGTTAATAAATCCATATAATGGATAATATATTAAAAACCAACTTGTAAAGGAGTATTTGATGTGGGACTATACTTATGATCCATTGCTAAGTTACAAAAGAAAAAAAAGAAAAGAAAGATTATGAAACTGCAGGAAATAATTTTTTTTTTTTTTTTTTTATTTTTTTTTTTATTTTGAAGTAATATTTAATATTAACATTGTGAGTTATTATCTTTTGCATATCCTAGTTACACATTTCAAACAAATCATCATTTATATTTACAGTATACAGATGCAAAGCATTAATTTCCCACTAAATCATCACTTTCTTAAAATGGTACATGTGATGTTATGAAATTAGCTATTAAGCATTCGAAATAGTAGAAAAGAGGTCCTTTCTTCAGTCTTTTTTTTTTTTTTAAATATATATATATATTTTTGATTTTTTTTTTTTTGCACCCCTCCCTCCCTCCCTCACATCCCCTCCCTCCCCAGAGTTTTATGTCCATTGGTTGTACTTATGTGTATGTATAAAAGTCTTTCGGTTGATCTATTATCTCCCCCAGATCTTCCTCCCCTCCCTGCTGTAATTTGACAGTCTGCTTGTTGATATACTATCTTTATATCTATCTTTTGGTTCATCAGTTTATAATGTTCTTTATTATCCACAAATGAGTGAAGTCATGTGGTGTTTTTCTTTCAATGACTGGCTTATTTCACTCAGCATGATGTTCTCCATTTCCATCCAGGTTGCTACAAATGATGCGAATTCCTTCTTTTTTATGGCAGCATAGTATTCCATTGTGTAGATGTACCAAAGTTTTTTGATCCAATCATCTGCTGATGGGCACCTAGGCTGTTTCCAAATTCTAGCTATTGTAGATAGGGGTGCATATATCCTTTCTGATTGGTGTTTCTAGTTTCTTGGGATATATTCCTAGGAGTGGGATTACTGGGTCAAATGGGAGTTCCATTTTCAGTTTTTTGAGGAAACTCCACACTGTTCTCCACAGTGGTTGCACCAGTCTGCATTCCCACCAGCAGTGCACGAGGGTTCCCTTTTCTCCACAACCTCGCCAACACCTGTCGTTTGTTGATCTGTTGATGTTGGCCATTCTGACAGGTGTGAGATGGTACCGCATTGTTGTTTTGATTTGCATCTCTCGGATAATTAGTGACTTTGAGCATGTTTTCATGTGCCTTTTGGCCTTCCTTCTGTCTTCTTTTGGAAATATTCTATTTAGGTCCATTGCCCATTTTTTAATTGGATCATTCATCTTCCTTTTATTTAGTTGTATAAGCTGTTTGTAGATGTTGGAGATTAAACCTTTATCAGTGGTAACATTTGCAAATATGTTCTCCCACATCGTGGGCTTTCTTGTTGTTTTGTTGATGGTTTCTTTTGCTGTAAGAAAGCTTTTTATTTTGATGTAGTCCCATTTGTTTATTTTCTCTTTAGCTTCCATTGCCCTAGGGGCAGTATCAGTGAAGAAGTTCTTTTGGCATATGTCTGAGATTTTGCTGCCCGTGGATGCTTCTAGTATTTTTATGGTTTCCCGTCTGATGTTTAAGTCCTGTATCCATTTTGAGTTTACTTTTGTGTATGGTGTAAGTTGGTGATCCAGTTTCATTCTCTTGCATGTATCTGTCCAATTTTCCCAACACCATTTATTGAAGAGACTGTCTTGACTCCATTGTATATTCGTGCCTCCTTTGTCAAATATTAATTGAGCATAGTGATTTGGGTTGATATCTGGGTTCTCGATTCGATTCCATTGATCTATATGTCTGTTTTTGTGCCAGTACCAGGCTGTTTTGAGAACAGTGGCTTTGTAATACAGTTTGAAGTCTGGTATTGAGATCCCTCCTACTTTACTCTTCTTTCTCAGGATTGCTGTGGCTATTCGGGGTCTTTTATTGTTCCAAATGAACTTTTGGAGAGTTCTTTCTAGGTCAGTGAAGTATGCCGTTGGTATTTTAATGGGGAGTGCATTGAATCTATAGATTGCTTTAGGAAGTATGGACATTTTGATGATGTTGATTCTACCAATCCATGAACATGGTATGTTCTTCCATCTGTTTACATCTTCCTCTATCTCTTTTTTCAGTGTCGTGTAGTTTTCCACATATAGGTCCTTTACTTCCTTAGTTAAATTTATTCCTAGATATCTTAATTTTTTTGGTGCGATGGTAAATGGAATTGCTTTTTTAGTCTCTGTTTCTATAAATTCGCTGTTGGTGTATAGAAATGCCATAGATTTCTTGGCGTTAATTTTGTATCCTGCTACATTGCCAAATTCATTTATTAAGCCAATTAGTTTTTTAATGGAGTCTTTTGGGTTTTTTATGTACAATATCATGTCGTCTGCAAATAAGGATAGCTTTACTTCTTCTTTTCCAATTTGGATGCCTTTTATTTCCTCCTCTTGTCTAATTGCAATGGCTAGTACTTCCAGTACTATGTCAAAGAGGAGTGGCGAAAGTGGGCATCCCTGTCTTGTTCCTGTTCTTAGAGGGAATGGTTTTAGTTTTTGCCCATTGAGTATGATGTTGGCTGTGGGTTTATCATATATAGCTTTTATTATGTTGAGGTATGATCCTTGTACTCCCACCTTGTTGAGAGTTTTTATCAGGAAAGGGTGTTGGATTTTATCAAATGCTTTTTCTGCATCAATTGATATGACTATATGATTTTTATCTTTCAACTTGTTTATGTGATGTATCACGTTTATTGATTTGCGGATATTGTACCATCCTTGCATTCCTGGAATAAATCCTACTTGGTCATGGTGTATGATCTTTGTGATGCTCTGCTGGAGCCGATTTGCTAGAATTTTGTTGAGGATTTTGGCATCTATGTTCATGAGGGATATTGGCCTATAATTCTCTTTCATTGAGTTGTCTTTATCTGGTTTTGGTATTAGGGTGATGCTGGCTTCATAGAAGGAGTTTGGAAGTGTTCCTTCCTCTTGGATTTTTTGGAATAATCTGAGGAGGATAGGTTTTAGTTCTTCCTTGAATGTTTGGTAAAACTCTCCTGTGAAGCCATCTGGCCCTGGGCTTTTGTTTGCTGGAAGTTTTTTGATGACTGTTTCAATTTCTTCCCAAGTCACTGGTCTATTTAGATTTTTAGATTCTTCCTGATTGAGTTTTGGAAGGTTGTATTTTTCTAGGAATATGTCCATTTCCTCCAGGTTGTTCAGTTTATTGGAATAGAGCTGTTCATAGTATTTTGTAACAATTCTTTGTATTTCGGTGGGATCTGTTGTTATTTCACCTCTTTCATTTCTGATTTTGTTTATTTGGGTCCTCTCTCTTTGTTTCTTGGTTAGCCTGGCTAGGGGTCCATCTATCTTGTTTATTCTTTCAAAGAACCAGCTCTTGGTTTTGTTGATCTTATGTATTGTTTCTTTGGTCTCTATGTCATTTATCTGTGCTCTGATTTTTGTTATTTCCTTCCTTCTGCTTACACTGGGCTTTTCTTGTTGCTCTTTTTCTAACTCTTTGAGTTGTAGAGTTAGCTCATTTGTTACCCTTTTTTCTAGTTTTTTGCAATAGGCTTGTAGGGATATGAACTTCCCTCTCAAAACTGCTTTTGCTGTGTCCCATAGATTTTGGATAGTTGTGTTTTCATTGTCATTTGTTTCCAGGATGTTTTTAATTTCTTCCCTGATTTCTCTGGTAACCCAGTCCTTGTTTAATAGCATGCTGTTTAGTCTCCATGTGTTTGATTTCTTTGGATTTTTTTCGTTGTAGTTAATTTCCAGTTTTATGCCACTATGATCTGAGAAGATGCTTGATATGATTTCTATCTTCTTGAATTTGAAGAGACTTTGCCTATGTCCCAAAATGTGGTCTATCTTTGAGAATGTCCCATGTGCGCTTGAGAAGAATGTATATTCTGTGGCTTTGGGGTGGAATGTTCTGAAGATGTCGATTAATTCCATCTGGTCTAGCGAGTCATTTAGGATTGATATTTCTTTGCTGATTTTTTGTTTAGATGACTTGTCAAAGGGTGACAGTGGGGTATTAAGATCTCCTACTATGATTGTATTGCTATTAATCTCTCCCTTAATGTCCTCCAGCAGTTTTTTTATATATTGGGGTGCTCCCGTATTAGGTGCATATATATTTACCAGGGTTATTTCTTCTTGTTGGATTGCTCCCTTTAGTATTATAAAGTGGCCTTCATTATCTCTTGTTATGTCCTTCACTCTGAGATCTAATTTGTCAGATATAAGTATTGCTACCCCAGCTTTTTTTCCATTTCCATTCGCCTGGAAAACCTTTTTCCATCCCTTCACCCTCAGTCTGTGTGCATCTTTTTTTCTGAGGTGAGTTTCTTGTAGACAACAGATATATGGGTCTTGTTTTCTTATCCAATCTGTTACCCTATGTCTTTTGATTGGAGCATTTAGTCCATTTACATTTAAAGTTATAATTGATAGATACTTATTTGACGCCATTTTTATTCTATACCCCTGTGTTCCTTCTTTGCTTTCTATTTCTTTAACTTTACAGTAGACCCGTTAGCATTTCTTGCATTGCTGGTTTGGTGGAGATAAATTCCCGTAGTCTGTTTTTGTCTGTGAAGCTCCTGATTTCCCCTTCAATTTTGATTGATAGCCTTGCTGGGTACAGTATTCTTGGATTCAGACCCTTCCTTTGCATGACCTTGTATATTTCATCCCATTCCCTTCTGGCCTGATAAGTTTCTGTGGAGAAATCAGTTGCTAGTCTGATGGGGGTTCCTTTATATGTAACTTTCTGTCTCTCTCTGGCTGCTTTTAAAATTCTTTTTTTGTCGTAGGTGTTTGCCAGCTTAATTATAATGTGTCTAGGGGTTGATTTTCTGGGGTTCATTTTGCTTGGGACTCTGCGAGCATCTTGGATTTGTGTGGGTTTTTTCTTCTCTATCTCAGGAAAGTTTTCTGTCATTATTTCTTGAAATACGTTTTCCATGTCTTCCTCAATTCCCTGTCCTTCTGGAACCCCTATTACTCTAATATTGTTTTGTTTTGTATTGTCCCAGAGTTCCCTTAGACTTTCCTCCTGTTTTTTAATTTTTTTTTCCAGAAGCTGTTCTATTTGGGTATGTTTTTCCATCTTGTCTTCTAGCTCGCTGATGCGATCCTCTGCTTCTTCTAATCTACTCTTGATGCTTTCTATTGAGTTCTTTACAGTAGCGATGTCATTTTTCATTTCTTCTTGGTTCTTCTTCATTTCCTCTTGGTTCTTCTTCATTTCCTCTTGGTTCTTACTCATATTGTCAAATTTGTCTTCCATTCTTTTTAGCCATCTTATGATCATTACTCTGAATTCTTGCTCTGGTAGGTTGCTTCCCTCTATCTCGTTTACTTCCTTTTCTGGTGAGGCCTGCTTTTCTTTCATATGCGGGCTATGTTTTGGTCTCCCCATGATCTAGGATGTCTGGTTGTGTAGTTCTCTCTCTCCTGCTTTGATTTAAAGGCACCAAATACAACACAACCAGGTACAACACACAGGGGACTGAATCGGGATGTGTTTGAAATATTAATAACCACAAATAAGGGTGACTAGAACCCAGCTAGCAAAAACATACAATCAAACAAAAAGCATATCAAATCAATCTTATAAACAAAAGCATACAACTTCAGTATAGTTAACATTCAACATACAACTTCAAAGTGTTAGAGAGAAAAACTTTTGTTTTGTTTTTAGGACAACTGCAAGGGAGGTGTGAATGGGCTCGGAGCAAGTAGTTGGAAATTAGATATATAGAAGTAGGGTGAAATTTTAGGAGGGGGTAGACAGAAGGAATGGGGAAAATCTAGAGCAGGAAAGGGTTAAGATAAACGGGGTACCAAAGGAAAATATCGGAAAGAGGGTGAAGGCATAAAGGATAGGTTGAGATAGAATAAAGCGTTGGAGAAGGAAAGATAGATAAAGCCTGTAGAACAGTAATCCTGAAATAAAAAAAAAAAAAAAAATATATATATATATATATATATATATATATAATCAAATGAAATAAAAATAATAAAAATAAACAAAAAAAATAAGATGAAAAAGGTAACTTAGTAGTAGTACAATGTAGTAATTATAAAGATAAAATCAAGTGAGGAAAAAGAAAAAAAATAGTTTCTTGAGTAAACGTTGCAAATAATGAAAACAAAAATAAAAAACAAAAATTTAAAAATTTAAAAATTAATAAAATTTAAAAAATTTAAATAAAATTTGCGGTAATGAAGGTCATTCGCTTCCTCTATTGTTATGATCCAGTCCTGATTTTTAGGCAGGTTTTGCTTTGTTTTTATTACACTAGAGTCAATTTGTGAATTAGCCTCTGGGGGCAGTGTTTCTAGGTTGACTTCCCAGACTCTAGAGCCTCTCCAGCTTTTTTTTTTTTTTAGTCCTCTCTGAAGCAGGAACTACGGAGGGGGGAGGGGGCAGGTCCGAGCAACCTCAATCTCCCGCAACTCTCCTATACCCCTCCGCGCCAGGTCCAAATGCGTTGCTCTTTAGATATCTCCCCTGTTAGGAGCCCCGTCCACTTTCACGGGTGACACCCGCCCAACAGCGGGGCTTCTACTTGTAATCGCCGCCCTTGTCCTCCAGCTTCCGCGTTCTGCGCGCAGGCTTTGTTTTCGCCGCGAGTGCGCTCCACCCTCTCCCCGCGAAATCTGACCTTTTCGCCGAGCAGTGGGGCACTCCTGTGAGGCCAGGTGTTCGCGCCGCCTGGGATCCGCGTTCTGGGGGTCACAGTTGCTTGTTGGTCGCTGCGGCTGTTGATATTCAGGCCTCTGACACGATCCTATCTTCCTCTCAAGATGGCGAGGTTTCCCTATCCAAGCCGGCAGGTAGCTCCGGGCAGGGACGCAGCCCGCGTGGGTGCTTCCCTGTGAGGGGTACCTCTGTCAGCAGCCCCCCAGCAGTTTCTTCTGGTGTTCGCTGTCTCCCAGCTTGCTAATAAACACTCACAGCTCAAGACCATCAGTTGCTCTCTCTTTCTGCTTCAGGAGAGGGCTCAGAAACCGCCCATCTATTCTTCCGCCATCTTCCCTCCAGGAAATAATTTTTATATTGATGTTGGTGGTTGGGTTACTGGTGATGCTGCTCTTCCCAATCATCTCTAACTCCACCCATCTTTTAACACTTCTTTTTCCAAGTTTCTGCAGTCAGAATGTGCTAGATTTGTATTAAGAAAACAAAATACATATGTGTAAAAAAGATTCTTAATATGTGATTAGATAACAAAGATTTATGCTTAATTTCAGGTAACACCAGTTGTTGCTCTTTCCAATGAGTCCTGGTCCATGTCATTTGCAAAATACCTTGAGCTTAGGTTTTATGGGCACCAGTACACTCGTAGAGCCAATGCTGAGCCGTGCGGCCACTCCATCCACCATGATTATCACCAGTATTTCTCCTATAACCAGATGGTGGCATCTTTCAGGTAAGAAGTCACAGCAACCTTCTCTGCACTCACGTATTCCCTGGAAGGCTTGTAACATTTCCACTAGTACTAGATTGAATGAATTGGTGGCATGTGTTCCCCCACCTTTGCAAGTGCAGAGAGCCATACTCTTGCGCTAAGCTGCAAGTTCTATTATTCTGTTTACTCCTTAACCTAAGAGATAGGTATTACTACCCTCAGTTGTATTAGCTCACTTATAAAGCTAGCACTCAGTGGAGTCATGATATGAACTAGTCAGAATGATCCTATTAAATGAAAATCAGCTCAGGCCACACCCACTAATGGGTATCTATTTCACGCTGAGTGAAAACCAGCATCTATTACGGACCTGTAAGCTCCTGTGTGTGCTGGCTGCCCAGTACCTCTCTGATCTGTCCTCCTGCTGCTCTTCCCTGCTCACCTTGCTGTAGTCACACCTGCCTGGGAGCCTTGCACTTGCTCTTCTCTCTTTGTACCTCCTGCTCCCTAGCTATCTGCCTGCTTTCCCTTTCTCTGGCATGTCTTAGTTCAGATTTCACCTGCCCTTTCCCTTCTCGCCTTTGGCATTTCCTGCTTTGTTTTTTCCGTAGCACTTACCATCTGATGTGTACATATTGTATTTATTTATTTGTCTCATTTATTACTCAAATCTAAATCATGAGGGCTGGAATTTTGTCCCTTCTTTAGTGCTTTATCTTCAGCACCTAAAACAACACTTGACACATAGTAGGAAGTATTTGTAATTGGATCTTATTTCCTTTTTTAAGTAAGTCCTCTGGCCATGAACCTAGGGCCTAGGTGGGATATTATTAGGTCTAGTAATAATTAATGTCGTTTTCTAATACCTTTTTTTAAATCGAATTTATTTAAACAATACAACAAAATTTAATCAACAATATAGTTGCCGTTGTTTTCTACTACTTGTGCCCAACGCTCAGGAAGCATTTTAATCCCTCTGTTGTAAAATTCTTGTGATTTTGATGCAAAAAATTCGGTCAATGCATTTTTGAGGCATTCTTCATTATTAAATTTTTTTCCAAGAAGAAAGTTTTGCAAAGAACGAAACAAATGGTAATCGGAAGGGGCAATATCAGGAGAATATGCAGGTTGAGGGAGAACTTCCCATTCCAACTGGCGCAGTTTTTCAGCAGTGATTCTTGCAGTATGCGGTCGTGCGTTATCCTGGTGAAGAATTAAGCCCTTCCGATGAATCAGCGCGGGTTCTTTTTCTCTGAAAGCTTGGGCTAACCTTTCCAGTTGGGCACTATACACTGCACTTGTAATGGTTTGGTTAGATGGTAAAAGTTCATCATGAAGAATTCCTTTAAAATTCCACCAAACACACAACATCACTTTTTTCCCATGCAAGTCAGGTTTTGGCGTGGGCTGCGGAGCCTCATTTTTGTCCAACCATTGAGGCCGCCTTTTCAAATTAACATACAGCACCCATTTTTCATCTCCAGTAACAATTTGCTCTAAAAACGGCAAACGGTTTTGACGAGAGAGGAGCGAACTGCAAATTGTGACTCTTTGATTACGGTTGTTGTCGGTCAACTCATGAGGAACCCATTTTCCAAACTTTTGGACTTTGCCAAGTGCACGCAATTGATTGGAAATTGTTTTTTTGTGAACAATTTAAAGTCGTCGCAAGCTCTTGTTGGGTAATTTGAGGATTTTGCACCAAAAGAGCTTGAAGAGCTTCTTGATCAAAATTGGACACACGGCCTCGACCACTCTTGTCATCTAACGAAAAATTTCCCTCGCGAAATTTCTCAAACCAACGCTGGCATTTTCTGGCGCTAACTGCATCTTGACCAAGAGCACTACAGATGTTTTTTGCAGCCTCACTTGCTTTTCTTCCTAATTGGAATTCGTAAAGCATGCAGTGCCGAATATGCTCTTCATCCGCCATCTTCTTAGCCCTAGTTTTGCAACAAAAACCAAACCAAACACAAGCTTTTTCAAGCAAAACTTGTTAATTGCACTTCACACGTTCTGTAGATACCACGTGTTTGAAGGTTATGTCAATACAAGTCAACGCCAAGCAAGATTTTAAACGAATGTTTAAAAACGACATTATTTATTACTAGACCCGATAGCTTTTGCTCGATGGAAAGACTATACCTGTGTCTTAGCCACCTGCAGGAAGGATGTCTCCTCCCAGTCATTTTGTTTTTTAAAGCACTGGATGTGGCCTCGGGGATATAAAAGATGGCATCACGGTGCAGTGAAAAAACAAAACCAAATGCTTCCAAAATCAGGGAGAATATTTATAATGGCTGAAAATGGTCTTTCTTATTTTCAAAATGTTTTTGTGTGTCTGTGTGTGTGTGTGTGTGTGTGTGTGTGTTTAAATTTTATTTATTTATTTATTTATTTATTTATTATTATTTTTTAATATATTTTATTGATTTAACACAGAGAGGAAGAGAGAGAGATAGAGAGCTAAAAACGTCGATGAGAGAGAAACATCGACCAGCTGCCTCCTGCACATCCCCACTGGGGATGTGCCTGCAACCAATGTACATGCCCTTGACCAGAATCGAACCTGGGGCCCCTCAGTCCGCAGACCTACGCTCTATCCACTGAGCTAAACCGGATTCGGCGGTCTTGTGTATTTTTATGATTGTTTTAAAACACCGTTTTATTGAAACTTTGTTATCTCTTATGCCTCATAGGATTTAACCATCATGATATGCCTTTACTCAAAATATTAATGTAGTATTCACTTTTTTTCTATTGCTTGTGTTTTCTTCTCCCAGTTACTCCCCCATCAGGCTTCTGGAAGTGTGCGTTCCACTCCCCAAAGTATTCATTAAACGCCAGGCCCCCTTAAAAGTGTCCCTTCTGCAGGACCTGAAGGACTTTTTTCAAAAGTAAGTTTTAGAGACTTTGATCTTCTTTTTTGTTCAGAACTGCCTATAATCTACAGGTATTTTAAAGATCAAGTTTACTCATTTAGCTTTCTTTGAAAACAAATAATGGACTTTTTCTAATTGTATGTTCAATATGCTTAGTATAAAAACTTAAAATGTAGACAATATAGAAAAGTATTTAAAAAGAAGACAAGCCCTTTTAGACATAACAACTGTTAAAATTTTGATGTCCATCTTTTCAGGTCTTTTTTGTTCTGCAAAATGGTATATGATACTAAGATAAAACATGAAAAGTTTTGTGTGTGACATCTTTTTTCTATTTTTGTGAGATTAGAAAAGTTGATTCCACTTCTCTAAAGTGCTTGCCATTTTTTCCTATTGTTAAGAGTTTCACAGGTATATCTTGCCATCGATGAAAGACTTGCGTCTTTGAAAACTGACACATTTAGCAAAACAAGAGAGGAAAAAATGGAAGATATATTTGCACAGAAAGAGGTAATTCATTTCTTGGACAGAAACCCAAAAGTTAACTATTAACCCATTGGAAGATGCGTTTGGGGGTGTGTTTCAGATGGCTGGGCTGGCAATGCTTCTGTTTCTCGTAGATGGAAGAAGGCGAGTTCAAGAACTGGATTGAGAAGGTGCAGGCGAGGCTCATGTCTCCCTCTGCGGATGCCCCTCAGCAGCTGCAGTCGGTCTTCGAGTCCCTCATCGCCAAAAAGCAGAGCCTCTGCGAGGTGCTCCAGGCCTGGAATAGCAGGTGGGACTGGGCAACCAGTGCGTCTTCACTGTTACTTCAGTTTAAGTGTCTTGGTTAATTATGGATGTTTTATTTTACTCTCCGTTTGTTGAAGCTCTTATTTTCTGTCACACTATTACCCCCATATTTGTTCATATTTTAAATAACATATATGCTAATCTTTAGGTAGTTTGTGAAAATTAAAAAGGAAAACAAAAATGAAAGCAGCCTTTAATGTTGTTTCAAATACTTATAGTGTGTGGGCTTATTGAATCTCATCTGAATCATTGTATATCATATTCCGGTATTGAAATATTTATTTTGGGAAATATTCCCTTTAGTGTTTATTTATATGTCCAGTTAGATGAGTATAGCATTCATTTATTGAGCAGTTGGGTTATGCTAGGCACTAAATAAACACTAGATGGACATTCACTCTTTATTTGGTCTTGTGATCCCTACAATGTATATACCATTTCCACTTTATAGAGGAGCAAACTTTGGCTCTCAGAGACCAAAGGATGTGTTCAACTTATATAGGTGCTAATTGTTAGATTTATTGGTCTCTAAAACCAATGTTTTTAATACTATATTATGCTATTTCTTATAATAATTTGCTGTTCCTTTATATTTATAGTCCAATTGGTAACAGCTCTTGATTAGTTGACTAGCAATAAAACAAAAACTTCGTCTTAGTTATGTACAATCTTAAAACTCCTGCAGTCGAAACAGGAAAATCTAATTATTGTGTTTTTGAAGCTGTAAGGAGATAATTTGTAAACGTTATTGAGGATATCAGAAACAAAACCATTTTCTTGGTTTTCTTCTTGTCCTTTAACTAGGTTGCAAGATCTTTTCCAGCAGGAAAAGGGTAGAAAGCGGCCTTCAGTTCCTCCAAGTCCTGGAAGACTGAGACAGGGGGAAGAAAGCAAGGTAAGAAAGTGTCGTTTGGAGCACACTTTCCCTTCCTACCGAAGACTGCATCTCCCTGGTTGAGTCGAAACACCAAAGGTGTCTCTCCAGACAGAACAGAGCAGAGCTGTCTAGCTGGAGAGGGGCCAGGCCCCAGGGCTGCCTCGCCCCAGCGCTGTTCTATAGCCATGCTGGTTTCAGTGGGCTGTATCACAGTTGAGCTGTGTTACACTGAATAAAGTTTTCTTCTTCACCAAACCCCAAATGAGGGATTCCTTTTGGCATTGAATTGACAGTCATTGGTTGACAAAATGAACATGAAGCTTTTAAAGAATGAGCTATGGAAGAGGAAAGATGACCTCGTAGCTGGAGAGAAACCAAGAGTTATGGACAGATTTTGATTTATGATACACATAATAGCATGTTTGCATGCAGTGGAGAAGGTGAGAATGCAGAGGGAGAGAAGACATTCCATGAGCAAAGAAAGGCTCAGATGAGGCAGACGAGGGGAGTGCTGACCCTCGAGGGGAGGTTGGAAGAAAAGGAGTGCAGATGTGGGTAAATATGCAAGTGAGAAGGGGAAGGTTTCTCTTCAGACAGAAGACAAGGGTGACATTCATCTCTTGGCTGCTGCATTTCACCTGTTGAGCTATTAAGATCGATATTCAAGTATTTGTGAAAGTGAAAAACTATGCCTCTATTGCCAGCCTTTTGAAAAGAGCTATTTTTATGTTATTAATGTTAATACATATGGGTTTGTTATTTTTAAATGAATTAATAAATGCATATCCTAAAACTTTCAGATTTAATTTCTAATAAGGTAAAATTAGAAGACATAACTTACATAAAAGCTGAGTGTCTTATTAATTCTTAAGAGTTGAAGGGATCATCACCCCGAAAGTTTAAGATTCATTTGGTTAAAGGTTTTTAAAATGTGATTTTAGTGGTCCCTTAAGAACAAAGCGTTTTTCTCTCTACAGATAAGTTCGGTGGATGCGCCTCCACGGAATGTTTCTCCAGGGCTTCCGAATGGAGACAAAGGTTGGCCTTCAGCTTAGTGATCACCTGCCATTACATTTAAAGACGTTATCATTATTAGTCTGGTGGTTGTTTTTTACTGCTAATTTTTACTATTACTCTGGTTTAATTGTTCATAGATTTTTTTTTCTGTTGCTGTAGAGCATTTGTAGCTTTTACCAGTTTAAGATTATTATAAAGTATATTTCAAGGAGAGAAATTAGGAGATCAAAATAAACATTAAATAGAGAAGGCTGCTGTTAGGGGAAGAACAGGAGGAAAAAGGAGACGGAATGTCTGCTTTGCTAGTTCCAGAGTCAGCCCCCAGGTTTCAGTGCAGAAGTCTTACAAAGTTTAATTAGGTTTTTATGTCACTAAGGTTTTTCTAGATTTTAGCTGTCTTTCACAATATTCATTGAATAACCTGGTGTCATCTTAACAAATGTGTAGGTTCTTACTTAGACCATCTTTTAGAACAAGAGCTCAGCTCATATAGTTCTTGGCATTTTTCTATTATAATTAAGTGAAGTTTCCCCCCCCTGAGAATGTGGTATATAATTTTTTTCCAATATTGTCATAATTTCATTCCCTATTAAATTGAACTAATAAACATAATTTTGCATTATGGTTTATTGCAGAGAATATTGGTAGGCGTCTGACTTGGTTAAGATCTAACCATAGTCAAGTCATACAGCCTGTATGAATTTTTGGACCAATATCTAAAGTATGCACAAAAATAGCCTAAATAATTTTTAGGAAGCTAAAATACTTTGGTTTCTGAAGTAAAACTGCAAGCTGGCTTTTTAAAAGCATCGCTCTCAGGTAGGAATGGACTTCATGCTTTTACACGACTCATTGGACTGTGCTTTTCTGCAGAGGACCGCTTCCTGAGCAACCTGTCCAGCCAGAGCTCCACCAGCTCTGCCCACTTGCAGCTGCCTACTCCCCCCGAGGTGCTGCCTGAGCCCGCGGGGGCAGGGCCGCCAGAACCGGACTCGGCCAGCGTTTCCGAAGGTACAGCTCCAGTCACTTTCCCTGCACTTCGTCCCAAAGAGAGAAGCACTCTGAATGCTTTAAGCACATGTTCTCTTATCCCTTAGAATTTTCGCATTTTATACTATTGAATGTGCTCCTTTAGCTACAGCTTCTTACCATGCCACCACTTCAGTTCTCTATTTGACGTGTAAATATCTCAATAACCAAATATTATTCAGCTTTATCTACCCTCTGGGGATATTACTTTTTTAAGTCCCATAAAGCACAGGATTGTTGCCTTGTAAGAAAATAAGAAAAATTGCAGCCATTTCTCCAACAACAAATAGGTGTTTCACTAATAGCAAATTTATGCATTGGTTCTCTCTTTCCTTGCTTTCTATTTAAGCAGCAACTACTTACTTGTAGTGCATACTTTAAAAAATAATTTTTTAGTTGAATTAAACTCATGTGTAATAGCCACAGTGCACAGAATTGAGTTGAAGTGGCAACATGAAGAGCTGAGTTCATGCTCAGGCAGTAATTCCATCGTGACTGCTGCCTGGCCTCTGCCATCGCTTGTGGGTGGATCTCAATTTCAGAAATGTTAAAGTGTAAAAAAGTGAATCCCTTGAGTCAGTGCTGTGTATGTTTCATTGGTGCTTTCTGATTCATAAATAATAATTGTTATTCCAGATCAGATAATTGGTAATTATCGTGTGCATATGTCTGAGTTCCAAAAAGGAAATGAAATTGATGCTTTATACTTTTTTAAAAAAACCTTTTAAATATTAACATATAAGTAGAATATTTTCCATTCTAGACATGTTTGATGGACATTTGCTGGGATCCACAGACAGCCAGGTGAAAGAAAAATCAACCATGAAAGCCATCTTTGCAAATTTGCTTCCAGGAAACAGCTATAACCCCATTCCGTTTCCTTTGTGAGTATTATAAAGGCCGGTGGCTGTTGAATGGTTTTGTCGTTACTTCATTAAAAAATCTACTAGATTTACTCTCTATATATTTAAATGTGCTTACTTAACTGTATATCTGTATTCCTCAATCCTCAAATACATTTTGTCATAGTAAAAGAGATGTCTTTTAGTATAATGTAATTTGTACAACATCTTCTATATAATAATCCTATATAATGAAAGGTAATGTGAAAATAAACCAAATGGCAGAACGACCGGTCGCTATGACACTCATTGACCACCAGGGGGAAGATGCTCAACGCAGGAGCTGCCCCCTGGTGTGGTGGTCAGCGCACTCCCACGGGATAGCGCAGCTCAGCCAGAAGTGGGGCTGATGGCTGGGGAGCACAGTGGCTGTGGCAGCAGCCTCTCCTGCAGCACTAAGAAGTCCAACTGCCTGGCCTAAGCCATCAGTTGGACATCCCCCAAGGGCTCCCGGACTGCAAAAGGGCACAGGACAGGTTGAGGAACCTGCCCCCTGAACATGCACTGGGCCTCTGGCTGTTATATAATAGATGAGTAGATGAAAAAGGATTAACTAATGTTGCTTAATGCTTAAAATTACTGGTTCTGAAAGTAATTGTTTGTATATTTTAAGATATATTGCTACATCTCATAATTCTAAAAACATACTGCTGATTATATACAAGGATGATATTATTGATCCATTAAGTTACTTGGACACAGTTTTTTTCTAATGGGTGATGAGTTACAATGGCCCATGCTGTGTCAATGTGACCGTGTTTGTACTGGGCTTGCTCACTGGGAAAATATATAGATGGCTGTGAGGGTTTGTTTTTTTTTCTGCTCATGGACCTGTTTGGTTGTCAGATGCTGCTTAATAAGGACTCTTCCTTAACTGAATTATCTATTTATTAAACTTCTCTCCAGAGCGCTCACAGTCTTGGCTCTCTCTATTTTTCGTTCCCTGCCCTTCCCCCTCCCCTCCTTTGGATCTTTGATACAAGTTTTGTATACATTTTGGCTTTACTTAATTAAATTCTTATAATCATGCAGTGTGTAGTTAAGATTGTCCTGAGATTTGCTTGCGATGTGTTAATTGTGTATTTGATTTTTTACTAATTTTATTCTTACTTATGTATTTGAAAATTTTGAACAGCGATCCAGATAAACACTACTTAATGTATGAACACGAACGGGTGCCCATTGCGGTCTGTGAGAAAGAGCCCAGCTCCATCATTGCTTTTGCTCTCAGGTATTATTCATTATTTTTTTACCTGTGTTATATTTCTATATTTTATGTATATTGATTAATTGCCTTACTGTTGATATCTGTCACATAGACTAGAGCAAAAGATGAAATATAAGTAAAGTCGAATACTCTTTGGGTGAGGTAGCTTATTTTCATTGTATCTGAAAACGTACTCTTTACCCAACTAATTACAGGATGATTCTTTAAAAAAAATTTTTTTGTTTATTTTAGAGGAAAGAGCGGGAAGAAGGGAAGAGAATGAGGGAGAGAGGGAGAAAGAGAGAACACTGATTTGTTCCAAATTCTTTTCCTATGCCTTAACCCGTTTATGTGCCCACAGTTATCATGGGTCTTAAAGAAGCTCTTGTTCCCTGACATTTGCTTTCATCTAGATCAGGGGTCCCAGACTTATAATCCAATATTTGGATTCTTTTTTCGGCCAATGCAACATAAGAATTTTTCTGGGTAAAGTTCAGTACCTTTAACTATAGAAAAGCGCTCTCAAGTTTCTTTCCTCTCTATTCGCTAAACCCTGGAGCTTCATACTTTTAAGTCAGCTTTGAGCCCCAACAAGTATTTGGTAAGTGTTAACATGCAGGCTTTTACAGTCTTTTTTTTTTTTTTAGGATATTGATACTGGTTGGTGTGTTGGGTTGTATTTTATATTCTCTCTGAACACATTGATCTTCGCGAAGTTTCTGCTTGATAACTTTGGTTAGTTAAGTGTGTTTGTTTCATTAGGGATACCTATAATGATTGTGCTTTCATAATGCAAAGCTTATGTGAAAGTATATGATTTATTTTAAAAGGAGGGCTTAATGTGTAACATTTCTCAATCTGTTTCTGCCCTCAGCTGTAAAGAATACCGGAATGCCTTAGAGGAGTTGTCCAAAGTGAGCCCGCGGAGCAGTGCTGAGGAAGGCTCTCCCACCGCCAGGTGACCTGCTGCGGGCTGAGTCTGTTTTAACCTGGCTGTCCCATCCCTTTCTGAATTCTCACACTTCGGTTTCATCAATGCGAACGATTCTAGGATACACACTTACATTTTAGCTGATCTTGATAAGACAAAAAAATGTAGCAAAAGATCTTAAGCTGTTTCTTTGGTACTGTTTTCAGATGATTGCCGTAGAAGTTCAATGTATACTGCAGTTTTAAACTTAACATTTTTAATTCTCTTTGTTTCCATTTAAAAAATATTAACTGGTGAAATTAGTAACCAACTGTTTGTCTTTATAACTTAAAATATTTGTGAACTTTCCATAATAATTAAAATAAAATAATATCCCCCAAACCAATTCTGACATTTGGACAGAAATTGTCACAGGTTCATTATTTTTATTGTTACTGGAATAGGTTTTCCAACTTTACTAATGTGACAGAATTTTACTTGAATCATATATTGTGATGACTAGCATGAGAAATGGGAAATTGGTATTTTCTATAATTGTTTGACTTATAGATGATAATATAACTCTGATGGACTTGGGCAAAATATTATTAAAACTTAATGCTCTTGTATTTTTCCACGCATATTTATTTATAGTTATCATATTTTGCTTTCTTTTTCTGAAGTCCAATAGACATTTCAAGACTTTTTTCCATATTCTACCCCGTGTGTATATAAGTCATGAATCAGATTTATGCTATTGTGAGTGAGGTAGGTGGGGAATAGATTCATGCAGGAATCCGCCTACTTGCTATTTTCTGTCTGACTAGTGTAAAACCAACTTTTCTTCTGTTTTTTCATTTTTAGTACTTTAGACAGCAGACCAAAGAGTAGCAGCCCCATTAGATTACCCGAGAGCAGTGGAGGACCGACCAACCGCACAGCAGAAGCGGAACCACCGCCAAGTAAGATTGCAAATGAGAAGGAGTTATTATTAGCTTCGTTTGTAATTGTGGCAAGGATTTATTATTTCTGGTCTTTGAAATACAATATGGGCTGGGAATTTTTCGTATGTCCTCCTTTATCCGTGTTTTGCTATTCTTTGATTCTTATTTATTGACTTTGGAACTCCTGGAAATGCTCAGGTCTATGGGAAAGCAGGCAGGACCTGCCTTCTCATCTAGGCTTGCAGTTTAAAGTGTGCAACCTACGAAATCTAACAGCAACATCTCAGTTGTTTTATAGAGTTGTTGGCATTGTGCAAAGAACTTCTTATGTATTAGCTCCTTTAATCCACACAATAACCAAATTAGAGTTATTTACCATATCCCCATTTTCCCAATAGAAAGTTTAAATTAAATTAAGTAATTTGTTCAAGATTACTATACAGCTAGTGGAGAACTGGGATTTGAACTTGGGTTTTTGTTAGTTATGAATGTATCCACTACAAGTAACAGAAAACTCATGCAATTGTGGTTTAAACAAATGATAGTTTATTTTTCTAAAATAACATCTGCAGGTAGGCAGTTGCTGGCAGTGGTTCAGCAAGTCTCAGCATTGTCATGACAACATGGGGTAGTTAGTTTTTCTACAATTCTCTCAAGTTTTACTCATGGTTGGAAATGTTGCATTTAACATCTATATTTGAGGCAGAAAGAAGGGAGGTGTAAGCTGCAGCCGTTCCCTTTTACTAGGAAAGCAGAGACCTCCCTTTCACCTGGCTGCCTCCCCTGCAAAGGAGACTGAGAGAGTGATGCGCAGGCGTATACAAATCCCTCATCCCCGGGCTGTTCACATGGCTGCCCCAACTCCCCTCCTTGAATTGAAGTTCAGTTAGCAAGGAGCAAGGTAGGATTAGATACAAAAGAGGCCATTCTGATTTCTAACATCCTAAGCACTTTGATTAATATTGGAAAAAGATTTTGTAGATTATAAATGTCCAAGATTAAAATCATATATACTAAGCTCATAGATCATATATATTAAGTTCAAAACTAAGAATAAAATTGTAGAGCAAACTTTAGTAATATTTTCGGTCATTCTATACTACCTACTTTCTGAAAAATGTTAAAAAACAACCTCTTATATTTTGTTGTGTTAAAATATAAGAACATAAAAGGTATAATGATGTTAACTTTAACTTTGAATTCTCATAGCTCGTAATGTTGTGTTGAATTAGTTTTAATTGTAGTGCTATAGGAATTCAGCCCTAACTTAATCTTGTTGCTTAAGATGTTATGACTGCCTTGGAAATATATTTTTTCAAAGATTTTATTAGAATTTCTCACATTTTGATATGTAGCTATCTGACCACTGTTCTTTTTCTCTTTCTGTTAATAAGAGTGCTTGACTACCCCTGCCCCTGCCAAACCCATAAAAACTGTGGAATAATAATCTATACAAATGAAAGAATTGGTATTACTAATGTTTATCATCCTTAGAAAATGGTTACTGCAAATAAAGAAATGAGTTGAAAATTTTAATTTTTCCACCTGTAGTGACCAGTACTTAATACGTTGCCTCTTATTTTTAGCCAAAAAGGCTTCTGGAATGTTGTCCTTCTTCCGAGGGACGACGGCAGGGAAAAGCCCCGATCTCTCCTCCCAGAAGAGAGAGACCCTACGTGGGGCAGATAGCGCTTACTACCAGGTCGGGCAGACGGGCAAGGAGGGGACAGAGAATCAAGGCATCGAGCCTCCAGGTGTGTTAAAGGGAGACCGAGCATGCTTACTCTAGGCTTTGATTTACTTAGTTTAGTTGCTTATGTTCCATAGTCATAAACTCTGAATAGAAAATTAAAAAATATATATTTTATTGATTTTAGAGAGGGAGAGGGAGAGAGAGAGAGAAATATCAATGATGAGAGAGAATCATTGATTGGCTGCCTCTTTCACGCCCCCTACTGGGAATGGATCCCGCAACCCAGGCATGTGCCCTTGGCCAAAATTGAACCTGGAATCTTTCAGTCCGCAGGCTAACTCTCTATCCATTGAACCAAACCAGTTAGTCTAGAAAATTTTGATGAAAGAGCTGAGTTAGTGTATTGCTGTTATTGGAATCACTTATGTATAAGCAAAATTATTCTTTACCCTGAAGTCTATTTTTTTTTTTAAATTTGAGAATTGATCTTGCAGAAGGTACACACATTTTTATTCTAAACTATTATTGTAATGCCTTATAATAAAAATTGTATACTGTGCTTGTATGGGAGCAACTTGGCAAGGGTAAAGAGGGTCAGTTTTTATTGTTATGTCAGGGGAGAAAGAAGAGGCAAAATGAAGTGATAACTAAAATCTGGCTTGACTAATGATATTGAACCTTTCAGATGAAGTAGATGGAGGAGACATGCAAAAGAAACAACTCACAAATCCTCACGTGGAGCTCCGTAAGTATGAGATGAGACGCTATGGTGGAGAGAATTAAATGGCTGTGTTTGGAAAAGAGATTTTTGATTCATAAAAGCTTTTAACGCTTCTGTTTATAGAATTTTCCGATGCCAATGCCAAGTTTTATTGTCGGCTCTACTATGCGGGAGAATTTCACAAGATGCGGGAAGTGATCCTGGGCAGCAGTGAGGAAGATTTCATCCGATCCCTTTCGCACTCGTCGCCCTGGCAGGCCCGTGGGGGCAAGTCGGGGGCCGCCTTCTATGCGACTGAGGGTGAGTCTTTGTCATTTATTGTCTCAGTGGTATCTCTCTTCCCTCAAGTAACTCATGGACGGCTTGAACTGAGGTAGTATGATAATGTCAGTTGGCAAACAGAGTTTTCTGTTTATACTTTATGCTGTGTCAGAAAATATTTAAAAGAATATATATAGAGAGAGTGTGTAATTAAAAACAAACACTGATCAAATTCTTACTAAATTCTCTCTAGTCCTGAATCTTCCAAATGCAAATAACAGAGCACTTTCAGGAAATTCACAAGAGGACCTCAGCCCTGGCCTGTGTTGCTCAATTGGTTGGGCATTGTCCTGTGCTCTGAAAAGTCACTGGTTTGCTTCCCGGTCAGGCCACATGCCCAGGTTTTGGCCTGGATCTCCATTATGGGGCATGCAGGAGGCAGCCGATTGATGTTTTGCTCACATTGGTGTTTCTCTCTCTCCCTTTCTCTAGTTAAGACATAGAGGGATAAATAATAATGGAAAATAATAAATTAACTTATTTAAAAATAAAAATAAATAAAAATTTCTTAAAATAAAAAAAGATTTTTATCTTTCAGCACCGATGAGAGAAAGATAAAAATAGAAACATTTAACCTGAGAGTGGGAAGGCCAAGGTCCTCACTCACCAAGGTTACAGGAGGCCGTGACCACTGGCACTTCACGTTCCATTCTCCATATCCACTGAGCAAAGTCACTGATAATTCAGTCAGATTGCTTGATAAAAGCTTTTATAACTATTACTTATTGGATTGCTAATAAAGGAAAACACTTATAAAATTTTATTAAAAAGTAGATCACCTCTGAATTTAGGGGTGGTGCTTTCAAAAGAGGCTTCTTGACCACATAAGAAGCCCTTCCCGCCCTTCAGTTACTTGAGAACTGTGTTCTGATGAGGATTTTCTCTGTGACATCAGAAAGCGTCTCTTAAAAACAGGAAGCAATTAAGTCATTTGGGGTCTTTGGAATGATTTATCGTAGCTCACGTCAGTGAATACTGGTCATTGACTAACCACGAGATTCCGCCTTTTAGATGACAGGTTCATTTTGAAGCAAATGCCTCGTCTGGAAGTGCAGTCTTTCCTCGACTTCGCGCCGCACTACTTCAGTTACATCACAAATGCCGTTCAGCAAAAGGTAGACACCCCAAACCTCGGTCCGTGCCTTTCACACCCTCAGAGCTGGTCCTGATGGGAGTTCCTGAGCGGTAAGATGTGGACAGGACATGCTGGCTCTGGGTGTGCTGCAGAGATGGGAGAGCAGTGATTTCAGACTCCTCCTACCTTGCCACGGAGGAGCCAAGAGATCTCAAGCAAGTTGCACTTAATTAGTATAAAAGTTACTTAAAAACATCAAGACTGGATGAAAATAGCTGAGCATTTAGTAATTTGTAATTCTGAGACAGAAATTTGAAGCCATGGGTTCCGTGGGCAGAAAGAGAGGAGCTGTGGCCAGCTTTGTCCGTTGTCGTTGAGGAGTGACCCGGCTGGAAAGAGAGGGGGAGTCACGGACCCTTTTTGCCTTCATGGTTTGTTGCGGTCACCGGGAAATTCCGTGTCGCAGTAAAACGGTGGATCTGAACGTTTTGGAGGGTTATCCCGGGGGAGGATCCAGTATTTCCGTTGGCATTACTGCTTTACTTAGTCCTGAGATTCAATTTTCTTTAAGGCCCTCAGACTGTTCATATTAAGAAAAGAGTATTTGGATATAACATGAAAAATCCAGATATTGGTATTAAATTTACAAATAATCCTTTTTGATATGAATTTACTCTCATTTTTTTTTCTTGATTAGAGGCCCACTGCATTAGCCAAAATTCTTGGAGTTTACAGAATTGGTTATAAGAATTCTCAGAACAATACCGAGAAGAAGTTAGATCTCCTTGTCATGGAAAACCTTTTCTATGGGAGAAAGATGGCACAGGTAAGGATGTTGGACTATGCAAAGCATTTCACTCCTGGAACCCTTTGTTTTTCTGGTTTGTGAATATAATGGATCAGAGAATAACATCTTGTTGGATAGTACATGTTAGAATTCGGTTGCTAGGTCAAATTTAACTTTGGGTTTGTTGATCCCTATAAGGGAAGAATAAAGAGGAATATTGTAGACTATCCTAAAATTTAGCGCCCACAGTGTCCTAGAAACACAGAATTTAGAAGGCAGATGTACTTCTGCCATTTGAGTTTTAAACATGAAGAAAGGAGGCCCACAGAAATGAAGTACTTTTATGGCAGTCACAGATATTTCTAGAACCAGGTTGGCCTCCATTCGAGAACAGTAAATACTCCTCAGGGGGCTGGTCTTGGAACTGTTTCCAGTCTGTGATGAGACATGGAGCTTGTACTGGAATGCAGCTCGATGCACTGCTTCCTTCATCGAGAATGTCTTGCTGTGACATGAGAAAAACAGCTGCTGACCTAAACTGTGCTTCCGGTGTCACTGATGTGCAACCTGCCAGCAGTGGTCTGCCCAGTACGCTTCAGGCCTCTGGTCTGGTCCCCAGGTCCCTAGCCTTTGCCACCACCCCAAATTCCTCAAGGTGGGCTGCTGCTTTTCTGTTGCCATAAGTAATCACATAAAGTTTTGGAATAAGAACTTTAAGTTTCCTAAGACTATTTGCATCTGGTTTCTAAACTGCCTTTCAACCCAGTGATGTAGTTTTGGAGTTACTTATTGATGTTAAAGTTGATTAATTGGGTCAGTTGTTTTTGAAATATTTCAGTAACTGAGTACTTGGTCTTAATTTCATATGATGTAATTTTATCACATGTATTTTATTTATTATGCAATTATAATGCATGCGTTTAATGACATAGGTTAAGCTTTTAAATTAAATGTAAAAGTGTATGTAATGGCAGTGGCTACAGAGAAGCCTTTCTGGCTTTTTACTTTTAATGACATTAATCATTTGTAGCAACTCTTACGTGACTGAGTTTTCTCTCTGCCAGGTTTTTGATTTAAAGGGTTCCCTTCGGAACAGAAATGTGAAAACTGACACGGGGAAGGAGAGCTGTGATGTAGTGCTGCTGGATGAGAACCTTCTGAAGATGGTCCGAGACAACCCTCTGTATATCCGCTCTCATTCCAAAGCGGTGCTGAGGGCCTCCATCCGCAGCGACTCCCACTTCCTCTCTAGCCACCTCATTATAGATTACTCTCTGCTGGTTGGGCGAGATGACACCAGCAATGAGCTGGTGGTTGGAATTATAGGTAAGTCAATACGCGAACCTCACCTACGGTTCATGATTGAAACCAGAGTCAAATTTGCAGGTTCTACTGAACGTGGTCTACTAATAGCTTATTGAATGTTTTTATCAAGTTTAATTTAAAATTTTCAGAATAATAGATTTTGAGTTCTAGGATATAAATAGTACCTTATTTCCATTTTTATTATCTTTACCCCAAAATATCTGTATTCAAAAAATCAATTTATTTTTATTTCTTGTTAATCCTCAAAGTTATTTATTCAATGGATTGTTAGAGACAGTGAAAGAGAAGGAGTGGGGGTGGTGGTGGGGAGAGAGAGGTCAATGTGAGAGGGACATTGATTGGTTGTCTTCCACCTGCACCTCGACTGGATTGAACCTGCAGTTCAGGTATACAACCTTGGCCGGGAATCGAACACACGACCCTTTGGTGCATAGACATACTCTCTAACCACTGTACAACGCAGGCCAAGGCCAAAAAGTCACTTATAAATGAAGGCCTTTCGGTTGTGACGATAAAATGGATAATATGGGGAAAACCCTTAGGAGAGTTTTGTGGACACATCACATACTGTCAGCACTCAGTAAACGTTAACTATTGTAGAAGTAATAATTACTAGTGTCCTTTGCTTATATTTATTGATAAAACTTTATTGTTGGTTTTGCTTTCTGCAACAGATTATATTCGAACATTTACATGGGACAAAAAGCTTGAGATGGTTGTGAAATCTACAGGAATTTTAGGAGGACAAGGTGAGCAGTTGTTTTCTCTTTAAACTATTCTCGTGCTTTCCTTATCAGTTAACATTTTAAGAAATGGATACTTTTTTATTTCCAAAAAGTTAGTGATTATCTCTGACTTTCTCATAATTTCCAAAATGATTACATAATAGAAGGAGTTGTAGGTTAGTAAATATTGAGTTTTAATTTGTGTTAAATTGTCAGAGGTTCTCAAAATAGAAAGTTTAAAAAAAAGGGGAGGGGGTAGAGGTTCTGAATAAGGTTTTTTGAATTAACACTTGAAATAGTCTAAGGTGTCTGAGCACTGCTGGCCCCTTTGTGCATCTGCCTAGGCAGGAGCTCATCTTTTAAAACAGAAGCTCCTGCCAGGGAGGACCGGTCCCATGTTGTGCTCAGACTGCTGGGGGTATGCATCTTACGGCAGTTTACGAGAAAGGGTCCTTTTTGAAGTGAGCTGCCTGATCACTTATGTAACAGTTCTCTTTTCCCTTTTCTCTTTCATAATTTTAGGTAAAATGCCAACCGTGGTCTCTCCAGAGCTGTACAGGACTAGATTTTGTGAAGCAATGGACAAGTACTTCCTGATGGTACCGGACCACTGGACAGGGTTAGGTCTGAACTGCTGAAATGACACACTGATTTTGAAGTGGACCATGAAGGAACGAGGCTGGAGCACAGGACCACAAATAAGCTGCATTTCACTTTGTCACATTCGCCACTGTTTGCCAAGGCCTTTCATTCTGCGTCTGTGCAGGCCATCTGTCACTGAGGGTTAAAACTGTGGATTTGCGTTTTGGCTTTTGATGTCTACAAATTGGCTGTCCTTGGACTAAAACGTTGTATGGACTTTTTTTCCACTTAAACAAAAGTATAGACATATTTCAAAGGGCTAAGGACATTACAGGGTTATAGATGAGGAGCTAGGGTGAAAAATAGGTTGTCAGTTTGCCAACAGTCCTGCTAAGAAAACAATGTCTCATAGGCTGTGACTCTCTGAGCACCACATTTGATAAATTCTTCACTTAAAAAGCATTTGAGGAGCTGGTGAGATTTTTTGTTTGTGTGTGTGTTTCTTATGTAATTTAATGTTGCCTAGTGTCAGAATTTTTGAGATTTTAAAAAAAGTGAATTAATTCTATGAATGGCCAGTTAAAAGCTGGACCCAGTCTGTTCTTATTTCACAGAGGAATGTGACTTACATCAGGAATCCTCCCCTTTCCAGTATGTCAGGTTCTGTCTTTACTTCTCTGTGGACGGCAAGAGGCCGCTGCTATTAACCTTAAGCCTTTTTCCCTGGAGCTGTTATTCAAGTTTGTTTACAACTTCTGTGCAGTTACTATGTTAAACAGCACTTGCTTGCACATGCTCTTATTGTAGGTTTTTTCTCCTTCAAGGACAGCATTAGTAAATGAGTCTATAATAACTAAATTCCCAAAGGGCGAATGGTTAGTGAAGGAGTTTTTTAAGTGTAAAAAATGTTTTAGACCCAATTCAAGAAATTGGGTGAAAGGGAAGCACTTGATCTTTTTTTTTTTTTTTTTGTAGAGGTAAAGTGTCTATTTCAATATAACCAGCAATTTAAGTGACATCTATCTAAGAAATAGCCAGGGTGGCCCTAGCCAGTTTCATTCATTGGATAGACTATCTGAAGGGTCCCTGGTTCAATTTCGGTCAAGGGCACATGCCTGAGTTGAGGGTTCCGTTGGGGGTGTGCAGGAGGCAGCTGATCAATCCCATCATTGATGTTTCTCTGTCTCCTTCTCCCTTCCCCTCTGAAATCAATAAAGATATATTAAAAAAAAAAAAAAAAGAAGAGAAAGAAAGAAAGCAAGAAAGAAAACAAAAAAGAAAAGAAAGAAAAAGAAAGAAAGAAAAAAGAAAAGAAAAAAAAATCCAGGATGGACATCCCTGTTTCCTAGTTTTTTTCTATATCTGTTTCTAGCATAGTTCTGACTATCAAACAATGTTAAAAGAAAGTATTCTTAGGGTTTCTTGTTTAGTAGGTTGTTTAAAAAGTAGTCCGAATTACTAAACATAATAATAGTAACAACGTAACCTGAATATTTCCTCTTGGCTTCTTGGCATAATAAGGATAATTTGGGGGATTTATAAAGTTGTGAGAGTTCTATTCTTTTCAGGCTTCCTGTAATAGCACACTTCTCTTGTCCTTTCACATAGGAAGACAAAGAAAGCTGGACACATTGCAGTTACAGAGACTACAGACAGGGAATGGGAACATTTTGGGAAAGTTGCTTTAGAGAATGAAAGCATTAGTTTGGTATATGGTGCTTATTAAAAACATGGTTTGTTTTGAACTAGAAACAAGTTGACCAAGGACTTTTGACTGATCTGATGATAAGCATTTAAAACAACAACACGTGGTGTGCTTTGCCTTTTGAAAACATACAAACACTGGTAATTTTAGGTTTCATATCAAAGACTGGCAGAGTAGCTACTGGAGTGACACCTAGGGGAACCTCATATAATGCAACACGTTTCATTTTCTTGTGTTACTATCAGTTATGTCCAGGAGCGATGGGTTTTACATCCCATTTTGCATGGATCACTGTTTTGACTCTGTTCATTTTTCCTGTCAGGATGCGTTGGGTTATGTGTCCTGTCCATATCCTGCACCCCCAGTCATGAGCACCTGGATGGATGTGTTTCTTTGTTTTGGTCTCAGTAGCACATGTGTACCTTGGATGCTCCCCAGGAACAGCTCCTGTCAGTAATTCTGTATCTTGCTAATTATGTTTGCCTCATCCATGACTTCAAGAACTATATTTTTAAGAAGTACTGCTGCCTCCTAGATAATTCGTTGGCTAAAAACAATTCCAATATAATCTGAAGCAATACTTGCTGTCCTTGTAAGACTGTCTTAATGAAGGGCAAATAGAAACTTTAATTTGTTGCTGCTCCTGTGCAGGCCACCCGATAGTTAAGGTGTTGGAAATATTGTGCTGCTCAATGTTAAGCACTGGCTGACTTTACCTCCCTTGAATTCAGTTTCGAGGCCTGGAGAACATTAATGCTGAAAAGTTAAGAATATGCAAGAAATCTTAATACTTTCTTCCTTAGAATTAAATATGAATCCAGGAAATAAGAAAATGAAACAAGTTGCTTTATTTAAAAATCTAATTGATGAATTTGAAGCCTTTTGATGCCATCAAATCTTTATTAAAAATGAAAAAGGATTTACTTTTTTTCTTACCCAAGCCTTAGAAAAATAGCTGCTACGAGCACTTTTACAATTTGTTGAGTATTTTAAACTTAGAGATATTAAAAATTTCCTATAAAATGTCCTGCTTATGATTTTTTCCCTTGGTCCAGCAGAGCGTGGCTTTCTGACCCTAGCTTTCATTGGAGAGTGTAAATAATAGGGTTGTGTTGGTTTCTGTGGCATTAGTTTCTCCTGGGCATTTTACCCGCTAGCAGTGGGCTTGTTATAACTGCCAAGGAAAGGAATCTGTGTGTAGAAAGTCTGCTTAGTGAATAGACTGGAAGCTATTGTGAATGGGCCTGATAGTGAAACAGGTCGGCCATTCATTACTCCTCAAGTGTTAACATACTGACTTATGCAGTATTCAAAGCATCTAGTGCAATGCCTTTTTTTGTTCGTTTTTGTAACACGGGTGCAGTGTATTATAGAAAAACAATTACAATCATGAGCATTTTTATTAATGCTTCTGTGCTGGTTTTATAAAAAAAATGTACATTCTGTCTTTGGACAGGTTTAATTTTAACTAGAGAAACAATATTGTAAATCATAATAGCCTCTTTTAACTCAGTATGAAAATTCAATGAACAATACTGAAAATACCTAATGTATGATATTGTATATATTTCGCTACTTTGGTTCCAGTTGTTTTATATGATTGACATGTTATTTAAGAGAGAAAATGCCTTGACCTTTTAAAGACATACTGTAAATAAAGAAGACTCAATAAACAGAATTGACTTCACTTAATTTTGAATCTGCTGGAGGAAATTAAGAAGGGAAGCTGGGATTTGGCCATGCAGGCCTGACCCCTGGTCCCTGGCCCCTCTGTTCATTCTCTCCCCTTTGTTTTCTGAGAATTTGAGTCTCTCACTGATAAATGACCCTTCTTACATCCTTGAAAGGGGGTCTTGAGTCTGTGGGCCCCTTCCACCAGTAAGAAGCTGCCCAGCCTTTTCTGCTAGGAACCCTGAGTTTGCCTTCATTTGTTCGGCATGTTCAGAGTTCACCTAAAGTGTGTCCACGTGTGGTGCAACCTGTGGGCACTGCTGCCCATCTTAGATGCCTGGACTCATGGCGAAGTGAGAGCCACTGGGCTGGAGGCGGCTCCCCCTCCCCAGGGCATTGGGTGGGGGTGGGGGTGGGGGTGTGGGTGGGGGCAGCGCCTGCCTGCTTTCCCTCGCAGCAAAGGAAAAGCCACAGGCGTAGGTACCAAGCACCCAGTTAGTTTTCTGTCCTCACTCCCCTAGGAGCCTCTTGTGTCGGAAGAGGCTTATGACATTTTTGGAGTAATGCTTAACGAACCTTAAGTTTTTTAAACCTAATTTATTTTTTAAAAAAAATTATGGTTAAAAGGATAAAATTATTCATCTTAACCATTTTTACGTGTATAGTTCAGCTCTGTTCCATATATTCACATCTCCAGTCCTCTCATCTTGCAACACTAACTGTCCCCATTAAACGACTCCTCTCTTCACCCCCCGCCCCTGCCTGGTAACCACCGTCCGCTCTCTGCCTCCCTGAATGCGACCACGGCAGAATCTTCATTATGGGTATTTGTCTTTTTGTGACGAGCTCATGGCACTCAAGGTAATGTCTTCAAGGTTCATTCACGCTGTGGCATTTCCTTCCTTTTTTAAGGTTGAGTGACATTTTGTTATATGTATGTACAACATTTTAAAATGTGTCATCAGTGGACGTTTGGCTTGCTTCTGCCTGTTGGTTGTTAGGATCAACGCTGATAGGAATATGGGAGTGGGAATACGTCTTTAAGATCAGTTTTGAAATTCGTTAAATGAAGTGGGATTGCTGGAAGATTCCAGTTCTCTACATCCTCTCCAACATGGACCATTTATTTACTTATTTAATGGTAGCCATCCTCATGGGTGTGAAGTAATACCTTGTGGTTTTGTTTTGAACTTCTCTGTTGACGGATGATGTGAAGGATATTTTCATAAGCTTGTTGGTCCAAATAAAGGTAATTTCTCTATTCCATGACTTTGAAAAATACAATTTCTTCTACTTGAAGTACTGTTCATTGCAACAAAATAGAACAGACAGTAGCATAACCAGGGAGAGAAATTTTAATTCAGTTTGCAAAAATATGCCTCGAGGCACTACCAGAGAGTTGTGACCCTGTATACAGATGCACGTTACCCCCGGCCAGAGCACAATACCCCTGGGGAGCACAGCAGCCTGAGCCGGACTTGGAGGTGCCATCATTGCCTTTTAGCTTCTCATCCACCACTCCCTTCTTAGGATAGAAATAGAAGCCTTGTGCTTTAAAATAGGGAACAGAGAAATTTGTGATTCTCCATGTTAAATCACTACCTGGTAATGCTAACGTTTTTGTTCAGTATCCTTCTTTAAAAAAATACAGGGCAACAATCTGTTCCAAGAAATGGCCTT